TGAAGAAGGGACCCGACCCGAAACGTCAGCTTTCCTGCTCCTCTGATGCTGCCTGGCCTGCTGTGTTTCTCCAGCTCCACACTGTGTTATCTAAGTAATACTACCTTTGTTTTTGTTAATGATCTAGATCTTGGTAAGCAGAAGGCAGTTTCAAAGTTTGTGAGTTATATCAGAGTTGGAAACATTGTAAACTGAGGAGGACAACGTAGAACTCAAAAAGAATGTAGACAAGTTGGCAGAGTGGGCAGTAGAGAGGTAGGTGACAATGAAGTTCAATGTGGAGAAGTGTGAGGTTATGAATTTTGGTAGGAAGAATGTGGGAAAAAAATATAGAATAAGGGAATAAGTACTCAAGGGCTGTAGTTCACATGTGCATTGATCACTGAAGATAGCAGCTGGTGGAGAGAGGAATGTTCTGGACTTTTTTTTTCTTTATTCATTCACAGGATGAGGGCATCGCTGGCTAGGCGAGCATTTATTGCTTCTCCCTAATTGCCCAGAGGGCAGATAAGAGTCAACCACGTTGCTGTGGGTCTGGAGTCACAGGTAGGCCAGACCGGTTAAGGATGGCAGTTTCCTTCCCTAAAGGACATTAATAAGCCAGATGGGTTTTCCTGACAATCGACAATGGATTCATGGTCGTTAGACTCCTAATTCCAGATATTTATTGAATTCAAATTCAACCAGCTGCCATGGTGGGATTCAAACTCAGGTCCCCAGAACCTTACCTGGGTCTCTGGATTAATGTTCCAGCGATAATACCACTAAGCCATTTCCTCCCCATAAACTTTATTGGACTCTATTAATAGAGGCATGGAGTACAAGAGCAAGCTTGTTATGACCTTGTATAAGACAGGTGATAACTCTTAGCCAGAGCATTGTGTGAAGTTCTGGTTGCCACTCTTTAGGAAGGATGTGAATACATTGGAGAGGGACAAACTGTTCCTCTCAAGGAATAAGAACAAGAATACACATTTAAAATGATTTGTAAACTTGGCTAATGTGTTGTGAAAGATAACTTTTTCAGATGACGGTTTGTGGAAGTATGCTGGAGGCAGGTTTAATTGAGGCATTCAAGAGGGCGTTGGATTATCATTTTTATTCAAGTAACATGCAGGGTTATGGGGAAAGGGCAAGAGAATTAATTACACTAAGTCTTAAATCTCATTGAATAGCTGGTGCACATGTAACAGGTTGAATATCCTCTTACTGTGCTGAATTGCAGAAAACTAGTATGTAGGTGCAGTAGGCAATAAGGTAGGCAAATGGAATTTTGGCATCCATTGCTAAAGGAATCATGTATAAAACTATGGCAGCGTTGTTGCAACTGTACAAAGCATTAGTGAGGCTACACCAGGAGTATTGTGCCTGTTTTGGTTCCCTTACCTGAAGAAAGATGTAGATGCCTTGGAAGCAGTTTGAAGGAGGTTCACTAGGTGGATTCCAGAGAGGAGGGGTTTGTCTTATGAAGAGAGATTGAGCAGTTTAGGCCTGTACTGTTTAGAGTTTAGAAGGATGAGAGGAAATCCAATTGAGGTATATAAAATATTAAAGGGGATTGACAAAGTGGACATGGAGCAGATGATCCTCCTTGTAAGGCAATCTAAAATGAGAGGTGATGGTTTTAGGGTAAGGTCTAGCACATTTAACACAGATGAAGAGGAATTACTTCTTGCAAAGGGTGATGAAGTTGTGGAAGTCACAACCCCAGAGTGAGGCAGATGCCAGGACACTGAGTAAATTTAAGGAGGAAAGAGGGAGATTTTTAGTTAGTAATGTATGAACGGTTATGGGGAGTGGGAGTGGGCAGGAAAGTGGTGTTGAGATCAGCCATGGTTGTGTTGAATGGCAGAGCAGGATCGAGAGGCTGGATTGTCTACTCCTGCTCTTAGTTCTTATGTTCTGTGCTGCAACCCATCTCTGATTCTATGTGTAAACAATCTTGAGCTGCTGCATGAACTTGCTGTATGCAGTTTGTTTCCAGCTTTTCTGTTTTGTAATAATATGATTACTGACCTCAGTGGCACTAGGATATACCTGGAAGTCTTCCACATCAGTACTACTAATCTGGAATCTTTGTGTAGGTACAAAGAGTTTCTTTTTTTTAAAAAAACAAGGGATATAAAAACCAATAGATATTGAGACCATAGTGATTGATATGGTTTCAATTGCATGAGATCTTTGAATTTCTTCCCTTTTTTTTGGGGTCTGGTGAGCCATTTCTCATCTTCGATGTATGGTCTTCATTTTTCTTGCTGTGAAACACATAGATGCAGGAGCAAGGCCATTCAGGCCATTGAGTCTGCCCCACTCTAATAGGTCATGACTGATTATCTCTTCAATGCACCATGTCCCTATCCCCTAATGTCATTAGTTTCCAGAAACTTCCAGGTAAGGCGTTGCAGTCACCACCACCAAAGATTGCCTTCAAAGACCCTGGGATCAGCTGCCTTGGGGCAGCAGAGTGTAAGCTTTCTTCTGCAGTTTCATTTTCTCCTTCTGAAGTCAGAGGTGTCTTTAGGAATAGAGTCACTGACTGACCGGTTTGGAGAGCAGGAGCAATGTAAAGCCTTTTTAGAAAATAAGTGTTGGGTTGCTTTATAAATTGCTGTTCATAGGAGTACACCTTTGAGCACCTTGAGCCTGTGTTACCATTCAATGAAATCATAGCTGATCTCTATCTTTATAACAATACCAGTCGATAGAACTATGATCGTTAATGTACTTGATGATGAAAATCAGTCAGTCTGGTTTTGAAAATTTTAATTGATTCCCTGGCCTCATTTTGAAGGAGAATGTTCCGAATTTCCACTGCCCTTTTTATGAAGAAACATATCTCTGACATCAGTCCTAAAACAGCCAGGCTTCAGTTTGTGTTATGTCCCGTTCCACTAGGCGCTCCTACCAGCAGAAATTGTTTCTCTCTCTTATCCGCTCGTGTGCTGTCTCTCACCTGTGTTCTTGCCTGCTCGTGCCCGCTGTCACTCCCACTCTAGCTGACCAACTGCTTGTGTAAATCTTTGATTGCCTTATTTTGCAGGTCATGAAGGTGAAGCTGCAGCCTCCCTCTGGCACCGAGCTACCGGCATTTAATCCCATAATTCAGCCTTCTGCAATTACACAAGTCCTACTGCTAGCAAATCCACAGAAGGCGAGTGTGCTTTTTATTACTGTGCACATGTTAACACACTAATAATTGGGGCAAATAGTTCTGGCAGAGCAATAACTTATACCCTCTAACTTTGTCTCATCACTGATCATGCAAAGCAGTCAGCAACGTTTTACTTTGACTAAATGGTTACACAAATGTTCACTGTTATTGTACAGAACAGCATTGTATGATCAGTCTTGATGTGCATGTACATCATCTCTTGCTCAGTTCAAGAAAGTATTTTCTCATGCCTTGTGGAAGGAGCTCAGTATTAGGGGGTCATTTAATATAAGATAGTTACAAATGAATTGTCAGGAGAAAGAGTCATTTGAAACCTTGGGATGATCATTCCTGCCTGTTTGAGACTGTCTCTAAGCCTAGATGTGCGTCCCATGCTCAAGATTATGGACCATACACAATGGCAAAGCCACCAAATTTTTGGTGATAGCAGCAGAAGGATTAGAATGCTTAGGGACAATTGTTGCTCATAGACGGAAGACCCTTTTTGTAGAGGACGTGTTTCAGAGACGAACCCGTGAGGAAGGCAATGGGAAAGTTCCTAGTGCATTTTCTTCCTAGAGTTATAATGCCTTTTGAAGTTGAAAATGGATTCTCTTGAGAGAACCGATGGAGGAATGCTTGAGGCCACAAAGTGTGGGAAATGAGCAGAGGACCTGTCCTGGGGCAGACCACTTTGAATAAATCCAATAGGAAATTGAGGTGCAACTACTTTATCAAGAGAGTGGTTAGCATGTGGAATTTGCTGTTGTTGGAATTATTAGAATAGAAATACTTAAAGGGCACCTAGATGAATAAGTTAAAGGGAAGGTAACGATAGAACATGCAGATAAACTTGGAGAAAGTTCCTATGGATCTTAGACGCTAATACAAACCAGTTAGATTCAATGGCCTATTGCATACTGCAAATTCAATGTAGTTTCCAAGAAGACAAACTGCTCAGATGCCTCAGTCAGTGAACAAGGCAAATAAAAGAATACGAGGTCCTCCTCTCTCTGAACTTTCAGTCCCTGTGTTGATGTTCCTGGCCCTTTGTTTCTATGGCAAGCCATTAAAAAGGTGAGACCTACACGTGGAAAATTACAGGAACCCAAGAGCAGTCCCTTTCGGGCTCAAGATGTTTTATACTCCACTCTGAGATCCAGATAGTCTTTTTTTCATTTTTATTAGGGCTTATGATGTTGCGCCGCCCATTGTTAAGAGAGACTTTGTTTATTTAGGAAAATGTTCTCGTTTGTACGTTTAATAAGCAAAAGACTAAAATGCAGCATCACTCTTTGCAGGAGAAAGTCCGGTTACGGTACAAGCTCACATTTACATTGGGCGAGCAAACCTTCAATGAGATGGGAGACGTGGACCAGTTCCCACCTCCAGAGTCGTGGGGAAAGCTCTAACTGGGACACAAACAGAGACACTACACAATACTGCTGCTCTGTTGTTGTGAGACCACCAACAATTTTCTGATAAGGTGAATGACAGGGGCTACAATAACTCAAATTGAATCCTGAAACAATTGATTTCTGATTTCTAAGGCAGATCTAGTGGTACACCATATGGGTCTGGAACGAGACCTCTGTCCTGCTATTGGGCAGGATGCTGTTATTCCCTCCTGTTAGCTGGCAATGTGAAAATAGTCCCCTCTCTGTGTGTACGGTGGTGTTACACCTGATGTCAGTGTGTGATAAAATTATTCAAAAAAATTGTTATTCTGCCTGGTTTCAAAGTCTCTTTTTTCTGAGGTACATGTTTAACGACTTATTCCGGTGTTCCCAAATTGGATCACTGTAGGTTTTTCAGTTGATGGGACTAGCATGTAACTAATACATGAGGACCAGAATGTTCGATTTCTGCTCTGTGCTAAATCGACCACTATCAGTTAGGAGAGTGACACCACTGCAGTGACTCTGTGCTAGCAAAACTGAAATCAGACAGCAATTCCAATCCAAAGTTTTAGCAGGTGGGTCCTCCTCAGAAGCGCCTCTCTGGGTCGTTGGGCTTAACTGCAATACTCTTGTCAAATACTCCTCTGGTTCGTTTATAAAGGTTGACCATTTGGACTCTACCAGAGCGCGGAGCCTAGGTTGTGGCAGCAACAAATCATTTGGCACAAATCAGCCCTTTTTGTTAAAGGCAGATACTTTTACAAATTTAATATAGATTGATCTTTTGTTCTTTGTCATCCTGAAATAACAGAATCATGATTGGCCCCAGGTGACAATGGCTGGATCGTTTGATTTGCACAATTTGGAGTGTGTCAGCATGCCACACTCAAGCTTACAACCTAAGAAGTTCAGGTATGGTAGCACAGTGTCTCTCACCGGTGTTCCCCGGGAGAGTAGATCATCGTAGATTCAACCAGCAATCTAACGTGGGTTTTGATCTAGCTTCCTGGCCGAGGTAGACAAGTTCATTGTGGCATTGGAGATTCTCCTTTTTGTATTGAATGAGGACTGGGAATATCCGATGGGGTTTTCTATCATCACGAGTTCAAATGACCCTGCCCTTCAATTGTAAACAGGTAGTTCACCTCCTGCCCGACCCACTAAGCGCACACAGTTGGTTCTGTGTGCTTTTAGAATGACCCAAACAGACATTGGCATGGAGTGCAGGAGGGACATTCAGGAAAAACTGATGATACTGACTGTAAAATGTACCCACATTGGTAGAAACCATTGCCCATAGCCCATCCCCACTGCCTTTTTTGAAACTATATGGCTGCATTTATCTTTCAAGATACACAGTGCAAATATTCTGCTGGCATGATTCCTAGGTCTTCAACACACCCAGAGTAAAAGCAGCTCAAATGATAATGTAATCCAGGGGAGGGCAACTACTTTAGACTGCTAGTCTCTAATTGAATTCTGCAATCATTGAGTCCTTTCAGTTTACAAGTTGCTGAAATTAGCTCATGCAGCCCCTGTAAACAGTGTGATAGGATTATGTGTGTAGTGGCCATAAGACCAAAAGCCCTGTGTTGATTTATCAGAGGATGTACTTTATAGTTATCATTGTTTGTGTCTCTGCACAAATATTTTGATTTCGTTCGAGGGTCAGCCATTAACCTGAATGTTTTAGAAGCTATGTTGTGTTATTTGACATTTCTATGTAGAACCGTAAAACACAAAAGTAGAAGTGAATTGCTTTCTACTTCCTCCAAAACTCTAGTGGAGCAGGAGCTGGTAGTGGAAACGGGAGTGTAAACAAATTGGGCAGGAAGAGGTGGAAAGTTTAAAACATTAACAGCTTCTCCTCAGTAAGTGATTGTACATCATGCTGAAATACCGTTTAGAAATCTTTAGAAATGACCCCTAAAATTTGACGGTAGTGACAGTAATTGTAGTCAGTTGCTGAATGACCTGATGACAATAAATATTGTTAAACAGTAAGGCTTTGAAACAATCTATTAGAAGGTTATGATGGTAAGGGCTTTTAATTCTAATTCTAATCATTGTCTTCCTGTGAAGCTGAAGGCTGGTGAATGCAATACTATAATATTTTGGTTTGTCCATTGACTATCACGAAGCTTTTTTGGGGATATGTTTATTTAATGCACTAGGTTGTAAATTTAACGAATGTACAGATTTACATTAACTTTTAATTACAACTTATTTAATTGTTTGAATCAAATTTATCAGTGCTTTGTTTTTTAATAATGTTTTTAAACCCTCAACTAACATGACTTAGGGCACATTTTCTGGGTGTTTTAGTTCCTTGTAGCTTGTAGGGACCTTGTGTACAAATTGAATACCTCATTTGCCTGCATTATTGTATTACCATTTTAAAAATATTTCATGAGTTGAAAAGGACTTTACTGCAGCCTGAAATTGTGTAATTTTTTTTAATTACATGCATGCAAGTACTTTTCAATTAAATTATTTCTAGCTGTAATGTTGCCAAATGTGACTTTAGATGGTCAGGAGTTAGAAGATAATCCAATAAAGTTACAAGGCCCTTTAACTTCACCTGCCCCGTATAATTTCAGCATCGCTGTCACAAAACTAATTATATTTTTGTCTTTCGATAACATCTCTGAGTGAAAATAGACCAATCTGTCTGTAGACTGAAGACTGTGTGGTTTCTAAATGCCTTCTGCAACCTGTCACATTGGATTGAATCCAATCTGTTAATCTCTTGAGGGAACTGCAGAGTTTTATCTCCAAGTGAATTGAACAAAAGTTCAGAATGGTGATGAGTAATGATTTTAAAGTCCAGTGCAGCCTTCAGAGCTTGTCACCCTGTAGTCCAACAATCGTGAGATTGCCTCTTCAGCAGGGCAATGAGAAGGGGAACTTTTTGGCTTTGATTCTTAAACAAAACTGAGTATTTGTGGGATAGAGGGAGGAAAAGTGAAATGCTATGGATGCAGGAAATCTGAAAACGTTGGATGCACACAACAGTTCAGTCAGCTCCAAAAAGGAGAAAATGCAGGTGAAGCTTCCAAATACCAGAGCCATGTGCAAACCTGATAAGTCAGAGGTTGACGAGCATATTAACAAGATCAGAAAAGGAAGGGGGAGATGTGTAGTAAATATTTCTTTAAAAAAGCACTTGGACAAGCTTTGGCTGAAAACTGTCAAGGAATGAACAGAAAGATTAAGAAGTTGAAGATAAATAGCTAAAGAAGTAACTAACCTGAAGAGTGGGGGAAATGGAAATCTTAATGTGGTCTCGTCTGAAATTAAAACTGTTGATAAAGAGAATTTGGCTGAAGTCTGCAATGTTTGAACCAAAGGGTTTGCAAGGTGCTTTGGAGAAAGATTACATTGTTCTTGCAGGCAAAGTTCCAATTTTATTCTCAAACAACACAAACAGCTTTGCGCAAAAAGGTAGTATAGGTAGTTCAGTTTCCCCAAAGATTAACATGTGTAGGTGTTTCAGACATTGAGTCAAATTTAGGCTGTGTTGAAATATGTTTGTGATTACATTTTCTTCAGTAGCTGAAGCACTAAATTGCATTGATTAGGAGTGGAGTTAACATAGCATGTGGTACAAGCTTGCAGTTTTGTTGTGTGACTCTTGGAAATTTCCAAGACAAAATAGAAGTAGGTGGGAAGGAGAGAGCTAAGGTGAAAGTGCTTCTGTACAACATTCGGGTCAAGAGCATTTTTTTTTTATCTCCCCCAGTTGTATCTTTATTGAGCTATTTCGTTTGTATGATTGTACCCATTCTTAAAATTACTGCAGTTGCTCTGTTTATAGTGTAGGGCAGATTTAATGACAACTGGAAGTTAAACAGCCACAAGAATCACGTGTGAAATTGTAACACTTCCACTTGGATATTCTCAATTGTCAGGGTTATGGCCAGTACACAGTGTTATGCTGATGTTTAGTGGTCTTTGCAAACAGACTGAGAGTACCCAAAATGGAACCTGATTTTCCAAAATTTGCCAGTAATGTGGCTGTCGACCTCTCATCAGAGGCAACTCCACAATTTTTATTTGAATAAAAAGGAAAGTTATTTTATGAGTCAGAAATGCTTGCATTTACATAGCCCCTCAGGATGACCTCAGATGCTCATGGTCAGATTTTTTTGTTTGAAAGGTGGTCACAGTAATATGCACAGCCAAGATCCCACATCCAAGAATAACTGATAATTAATTGTTCAGAAGTGTTTGAGAATTAATCTGCAGCAGTGTTTGATTACCCCCTTTTAATACTGCCCAGAGTGGGAGCTTCGAGAGCACCAGAGGTCACACTGAATTTCAGATGCCTGACTGGAATGGAGAAACCGCTATGAGCTCCGATGTGAGCTGCATGCAGCTCATTAAAAGCATTGTAACTTCCAATTTCTGAAAGGACAATCTTCTTTGGTACCTGCCCACCTGTGGGGAGGGTGAGGTTGGACAGTTTGTCCTCAGTACAAAGAGTACTGTTGATGGGCAGTGAGTTTCACCAAGATACTGGCTTCCGGCAAGTCTTTTATTAAGACCTGGAAACTGGTCGTACCTGAATTGCATGCAACGGCTGAGCTTGGTAGTAGGACCAAGGCAAATTGGTCTGACTTCTTTTAACTTGCTGCCGTTGAGTTAGTACAGCTGAGGAGGAGGGTCTAAGAACATCAGCAAGCTTGACGACAGCAAGGGAGACCAGGACCCGGAGTGGTGGCCTGAGATTTAATGAGAGCTCCCCAATAGATACATAAAGTGAGTTAAATCTCGCCTCTCCAGTAGAGCCCTGCTACACGCCTGAAGAAACTGGTCATGAGATCAATGTCAGTTGGCACCTGATTTGTGTATGCAAAGGGTCTGATGTCTGTTTGGGTCATGCACTCTGGCTTGCTCCAGGGGGAACCTAACCGAAAGGGTGTGCATGGAAAATTCTAACATGGGGTGAGCATAGGGATGTTGATTGTCATTTTGAATCCTTAGGTATTCATTTGATACAATCTAATTTCTAGGCCATTAACAAGTTATCAGCCTTCACAGTGTAAAATGGCACCAGCAGCATTGTTGCTGATGAAATGTCTCCTGGATTATGTTCAGTTTTCAATTTTCTTCTGTTGCTATTGTTAATTTGATTCAAGGACTCTCATTACAGCACAGTCTTCATTTTGTCCATTTGAAATGTGTGTGCCCTTCAGTGGTTTGGTTTAACTGGGCCAAGTCAGCTCAGGTGTGCTATAATGATGTGCGAGGAAGTATTAATCAAATAGACTTGGTGACTGGAAAGTGTGTCACTGTTCAATGACTTTACAGATCCCACCAGAAAATAAAAATCGAAAATCTTCAACCCTGCTACCCATTGCCAGGATGAATACAATATGTCAACAGAAATTTGGCTTTGGCTAACTATTATATTGTCCCTTGCACAGTGATGCTACTGTAGGTGTGTCACCCTTTGTTAATACATCTTTCAGTGAATCTCCAGTACTTTAAGGCTTGTGTAAGCTGAAATAATTTCCTGAAAGGTAGTTTGACCACTTGCTTGCAAGAGCAGCTGTCGAGACTCACAAAGCATAGAGATATGTATGGCCAATTGAGAGAATCTATAACAAGTGTCAACAGTGAGAGTGTCACCTGTGTGGTACATTGCCAAGTGAAATCTTCATTCCTACAGTCAAATGTGGTCCATCCGTTCCAACTGGAGTCCTTGCCCAGGTTGTGATTGATCTGCCTCAGAAAGTGGAAATGTGTTTAGTCTGAACACAGAGGTGTTGTTTCCTTTTATTCTAACACTGCTTATCTATTTGTTCTAATAAATACCCTTTGTCTCCCCTGCTTGGGATCTGTAGAACTGACTTGTGTATATATTTATATGGTCTTTTGGAATTATGTACATTAGAACAAAGATTTATTTATGGGGATTAAAGTTTTCTTTTCCTGGGATTGTGAGAGTCACGTGATGTATACTAGGCCTCCTTTTCTTTTGTGTATATTTTGTCCAATAAATCATCCAAGGTCTATTTTTATTTATTTTTCTATCCGATTTCAAGAGAATATTTTTACAGTTTTTACACTAAACAACAGAAGTGACTTGCACCCATCTGTCAGGGCTGGACTTGAACCTAGATTCTGCAAATGAAAAACAAATGTACAGTGAATAGCCCTGCTGTACCCTTTATTTGTTGAGGCAGAATAGAAGGAACTTTACAGTTTATTTTCCAACACTAATGCAATAGTGAAAGAGAAGGGAATTAATGAAACATTGTTCCCTATTTGATCCATCGGCAACGCAAGTACTTTAGTCTCTAGTGTCTGGTGCATGACTACCAGCCCTCAGTGTGTAAAATAGTTGCAACAGCTTTATCGTTCATGAGATGACTCCTGGATTATGTCCAGTTTACCTCTGTGGCCCTCATTGCAGCACGGTTCTTACATTGTACGTTCAAAATGTTCCCTTCTGCAGTTCAACGTAACTGGGCCAAGTCAGCTGAGGTGTACTGTAATAATGTGTGGGAAAATATTGATCAAAGGGACATATTGACTGAAAAATATGTCACTGTTCAGTGCCTTTACAAACTCTACCAGCAAATAAAAGTTGAATATCTTCAATCCTGTTACCCATTGCCAGGATGAATATAGTATGTCAACAGAAATTTTGCTTTTCTGACTTTTACATTGTCACTTGCACAGTGATGCTGAGATGAGACCCCAGCCTATGCCCCTAGTGAGGTCTCAGAAGGGCTAGAGTTCTTGGAATGTATTGGAACACTTTGCTCCATGTGGGCTTTTGCTTGTTTGTTTTCTTCTGAAGTATGGTGCAGTGATTAGAGTCATAGTCATACAGCAGAGAAACAGACCTTTTGGTCCAACCAATTCATGCTGACCATGTTCCCAAACTAAACTAGCCCCACCTGCCTGTACTTGGCCCATGTCCCTCCAAACGTTTCTTATTCATGTATTTATCCAAATGTCTTTTAAACATTGTAACTCTACCTGCATCCACCACTTCCTCTGGGAGCTCATTCCACACAAGAACCACTGTGTTTTTTAAAAACAATTGCCGCACACATCTTTTTAAAATCTTTCTTCTCTCACCTTTAAAAAAAGTCCCCTTGTCTTGAAATCGGGAAAAGACACCTGCCATTCACTTTATCTATATGCTTCACGATTTTAAACCTCTATAAGGTCGCCTCAACCTCCTATGCTGCAGTGAAAAAAGTCCCAGTCTATCCAGCTTCTCAAACCCTCCATTCCTGGCAACATCCTGGGAAATCTCCTGGAGATTAGATAGCATACTACATATGATTTGCTTTTAACATGGCCGGCTGAATGAAGCAGACTGCTAGGCAGGTACACAAGAAAGAGCTCAGCCTGACCTGAAGGGACTGAACAGAATCACAGAATTGTTATGGTGCAGTAGGAGGCTGTTCTGCAGCAGCTCTCTGCGCAGTTTCCCTTTAAAGTCCAGTAGCCGCAGGTTTTCTAAACATTGCCTGCTGTTTAGATTTCAGTAATCATCTGATGCCCTCTTCAATGCATCAATTAAACATTTCTTCACCACACTTTCAGGTAGTGCATTTCAGACCCTAACTACCCATGTCCGACATCTTTCTCACCTCTCGTTTGCGTCTTTTGAAAACATGTTAACAGAATTGCAGAATAGTCTCCTTCTTGCTCTCTTTTTCTCTGCCCTCCTTCCACCCCTCGCTGTCTTGCACTCTCCTCTCTCTCTCTCTCTCTCTCTCTGCTCATTGAATACAACGTGGGCCTAATTATTTTTCTTTAACTTAGAAAACATCCACATTGTGATCCTATCTCACATAGGTAGTGAGACCAGAAGTGTTGAGGAAGCAGGGAGGCTGCAGAAGGACCTGGAATAGGCTGGGAAAGTGAGCAAAGCAGCAGAGTGAATATAATGTGGGAAAATGTGAGGCTATGCACTTTGGTAGGAATAACAATGGTGTAGATGTTTTTCTAAGCTGGGCAAGGCTTCAGAAATCTGATGCACAAAGGGATTTAAGAGTTGCTGAACTTGGATTCCTAAGGTTAACGTGAAAGTTCAGTTGGCAGTTAGGAAGGCAAATGAAATGTTAGCATTCATTTCAAGAGGGCTAGAATGCCACAGCAGAGATATATAGCCTCCGTAGTACAAGGCTGTGTTCAGACTGCATTTGGAATATTAAGAGCAGTTTTGGGCCCCATATCTAAGGTAGGATGTGCTAGCCTTGGACAGGATCCAGACGACGTTCACAAAGATAATGCCAAGAATGAAGGGCCTGTTGTATGAGGAGCAGTCGAGGACTCTGGGTGTGTACACAATGGCGTTTAGAAGGATCGCAGGGGGAATCTGATTGAAACTTACAGGATACTGACAGGCCTGGATAGAATGGACATAGCGAACATATTTCTACTAGTTGGAGAGACTAGGACCAAAGGGAACAGGCTCAGAGTGAAGGCATGATACTTTTGAAATGAGATTAGGAATTTCTTCAGCTGGAAGATGATTAATCTGTGGAAGTCATTGCCGTAGAAGGCTTTGGAAGCCAAATCATTAAGTGTATTTAAATCAGAGATAGATAGGTCCTTGATTAGTAAGGGAATCAAAGCTTCCAGGGAGAAGGCAAGAGAATGGGGTTGAGAAACTTATCAGCCATGATCAAATTGCAGAGCACACTCATTGGGCCAAATGGTCTAATTCTGCTCCCATGTGTTATGGCATCACACCCAGGATTTTAACAAGACATTTGTATTCTCAGCTTACCTCAAAAGTCCAGTATAATCACATTGTACATCCTTGTCAGGATAGTTGACATGTTGGATCCACCATTCCCTAGGTGTTCAGGCAAGGGATGAGATGCATGTGTACGTGCTGAACCTCTTTAGTAATCATCTGAGGCAGAAGGGATAAGCATGGGGATAACTCCTATAGCCCAGCAGAAGGTTCTTCTGCCTTTGAGCTGGTTTCCAGTCTTTGGAGTTTCAATAGCCCCTAACAGTAAGCGGCATGAGTCCAGACACACGAGTTTTAGAGCTGCCCCCTGTAACATCCAATTGTCTGTGTTATGCAGCTGATCCTGATCCTGCTCAGCTCACAGCCCTATACATCTCACCAAACACCCGCTTTTCTAATTGACGAAAGTTGACTGTGCTACAGTTATGGATCTCTTGACTACGGGTGGATAATGTGTCAGCAGATAATCCTGGAAAGCAATATTAATATGAGGAAAGACACAGCACACAATTATTATCTGAAGGGCTCAGCCTGACAGTTTGGTGGAGGCAGATGAAGTCAAAAGAGTGAAAGTATCTGAGGTGAGAAAACCAGTGGTGCTATGGGGGAGCAGGACCACGTGAGCCTCCACTTTAATAAGCTGGCACAGACATTGGTTGCAGTTCAGAAGTAGACCGTTCAACCCATTCTGTCATTCTATTCTATTGTACCTCCATATGCACATTTGTTCGATGGACAACTTGATTAGGACACTTACCACCCGAACTAAGATTGGCTAATTTCATACAGCCAATATGTTGAGGCTGAACAACTTTCATTAGCAGGAGAGATGCCCTCTATGAGCTTTTAATCATAGATTCAAGACACTCATTTATTCCAACATGTCTTTTTTGCATGATCTGTCCAATTCATCCCGCTCTGATCTTTTCCCATATTCCTGCAATTTGTTTTTCTTTCCAGCTTCATGTTTGTTCATGATCTCTCGAATTCAGCCAGGTTGAGGGAACAAGAGGGTTCCTGTTGATTGGGATAGTGGTCCCAGCCTTATGCTTGTTGTTAATTTCAGCTTCAGAGGTTGCACGAACATTTGGCAGGATTGTTAAAGCACCAGCTCAGAAACAGTAAAACAAAAGAATTGCATTTGAAGGATTGTTGTTGCAAAATATAAATTTATTAGTCTATTTACAGCAGAATAGCTGAAGTTCATTTTCCACAAATCCGATTCTCAGCTATCTTTATTCAAATATACATAAACTTTCTAATAGATAACAAAATACATAAGTAAAATATAGTTTCCTAAACCAGGTATGCATTGAAGTATTTTTACTGTCAAATAATAGCAATTGTTTCCTTTCCTTCACTGCCAAAACAGTGACAGTTGGAGAAGATCAGATTTCACTGAAGCCATTCCGTTAAATGTAACTTAACGTTGCCTAGTGTGCTACAGGATCAGTTTAATTCAGATGGCTGGACAGTTGGTTTGTGAATACAGAGTGATGCTAACAGCGTGGTTCAATCCCTGCACCAGCTGAGGTTGCCATGAAGGACTTTCCTTCTCAACCTCTTCCCTTTGCCTGAGGTGTGGTGGACCTCAGGTTAAATCACTGCCATTGGCTCTCTCTAATGCGAGAGTGACCCTTTGGTCTGGTAAGACTATGGTGACTTTATTGCTGTCAAACTTGCACAAAATAATGAGCTAAATGATGAAAAACAGGTTTCCCACAATAATTGAAGCATAAATGTTGGCCAGGACATTGAAAAAACAGCCTAGCTTGTCTTCAAGTAATGTCTTGGGATCTCTACACCCACCTGAGAGGACAGGAAGACAGCGCTTCCAGTTATGCAGCTCTCCCTTGGTACTGCACTGAAATGTCTGCCTGGATGACCAAGTGTTGGGACTTGAACCCACAACCTTCTATTCAAGAGGCAACAGTGCTAGCTACTGAGCTACAGCAAGATGGCAAAACATCTGAAGAAGTCATGTTGGCCTCAACTCTAACTTGTTTCTCTTTCTGCAGACACAGCTGGATCTGCTGAGTTTTCCAGCTCTTTCTGCTTTTATAATAAAAATAAACACCATTTACTGCCTTTGCTAAACTTGTCAACTTCATCCAAATTGCTGATCGAAAGTATTGAATCTGTCAAAATTAATTGCTTTCCGAATAGCTTGCTAATGCTCTCTGTTTAAGAATAATTTCCATTTAGGAGTCTTGTAAAATGTAGAAACGCAGCCCAAAAAGAGTGAACGTTCAGGATAACAAATCTGGAAGGTGGGGTAAGTAGCAATTAAAGATTCAGTATCAAGGGGTAATGAATTTGAGCAATTCAAAACAACACAACATACAGTGGTGTAGAACTATTAGTTTCTATTTCTAACCTACATGTATTCTGTGCTTTATTTATGAAAAGCTGCTGTACACCTATACGTAATGTATCTGTTTTTAAAAAAATATTAGACATTCCATGTCTGTTCAATAAGTTGCTTATAAATAATGTTTTTGCACATTTCAATCTATAAACCTCCTAATGATAGCAAATCACTCTTTGCTGCTGGGCAATTGTCTACACCACACATCAAATGTCAGCAGTTATCTGAATCAGTCCAAAACACCGACTGTAAAATAGGTCATTTTCAAATGCTGCCAGTATTTAAGAACATAGGAGATAGAAGCAGGAGGAGACTATTTGCGCCCTCAACCTGCTGTACTATACAGCAAAGATCAGGGCTGGTCTTCAAACCAACTCCAATATTCCCCCCCTCCTATATTCTTCAATTACCTTTAGTATACAAAGCTCTAATGATCTCTGCTGTGACAATACTCCGCAACTGAGCACTCTGTGTACAGAATTCCAAAGATTCATAATATTTCAGCAATGATTTCTTCATCTTGGTCCTAAATGGCTGATCCTTCAATTTGAGACTGTGACCCTAGTTCTATACTCTTCAGCTGGCATCTAACCTGCAAAGACCCAAAGGTATTTTATGTTTCAATATGATCGCCCTTCCTTATTCTCCTAAACTCCTGGGGCCTCATCTAGTTAGTTTCTTCTCATAGGATAGACTCCTCATCTCAGGAATGAGTCAAGTGAACCTTCACTGAAGTCACTTTAGGGCAAATATAATGTTCTTTTCGATAGGGTGGCCAAAATTGTACATAGTACTCCAGGTGTGGCCTCATCAATGTTTGATGTGTTACGGGACAGTAGGTGCTCATCTAACATGCTGATCACCATTTCTTTTATACATTCATGGTATCGCTGACCAGGCCAGTATTTGTTGCCCATCCCTAATTGCCCAGAGGGCAGTTAAGAGTCAACCACATTGCCGTGGGTTTGGGGTCACATGTAGGCGAGACCAGGTAAGGATGGCAGTTCCTTCCTTAAAGGACATTAGTGAACCAGATGGGTTTTTCTGGACAATTAACAATGCATTCATGGTCATCATTAGATTCATAATTCCAGATTTTTTACTGAATTCAAATTCCACCATCTGCCATGGCAGGATTCGAATCTGGATCTGTGATAACAGTCCAATATTATTATCACTAGACCATCACTTCCCCCTTTAATCACCTACAAGGCTTCTGGTTGAATATGAGGCCGTGACTCAACGGCATTCCCTGACAAAGTAATTAGAACTTAAGCATGGAAAGTCCAGGAGAATCTCTCAATACGTGTCAATGGAACACAATTATTACTATTGCGTATTCGTGTTCCTATTCAGAGTGCAGATTCAGTGGCTATTGTCAGACCAGTTGATGCATATGACCTGTAATTGGAGCAAAGGGCAATGCAAGTCTGTCCAAGTCATAATTCATCAATAAAATAATTCAGGGACCTTTGCACATCCTGATGGAAGAATGTTCAGGGATTACATTGGAATGGTCCAAACAGATGCAGTCACCAAAAGCACAAGTTCACACAGTACAGGTGACTATTTCACTCTTACTTATCCCACCGCTTCAGAGATAAGAAACAAAGTGCAGCCTTTCAGTTTGATTTGTTGACGGTTAACTTTTTCTTTCGAGAAGCAACCATGTCATAGAAAGGATCTCGAGAGATACTGGCTCTGAAATATAATAATAAAAACACAATAAATTTACTCTGATTTAGAAGCGAGAAATGACAGTAACTGCTATGACTAAATGTTGTAAGACTCAAAAATACTTCACTCATCCAACTTTGAACCCACAGTTTATGTGGAGGTTTTCAGATGTCGGTAATAGTTCTTTCTTTTCTCATTCACATTTCTCTCTCTTTTTGTCCCATTACCATCACCTTGTGCCTGGCACCATCATCCATTTTGTTATTTAACCTTTCCTGTGTTTCACCCTTAACCACAGACCTTCCTTTTTGTTCTCTCTCTTCCCCCACTCCGTGCACACCTTCCTGTCCTCTGTCCCCCAAGACTGTCTAAAAGTCCTGCCTCTATAGCTGTTTTTGAAGCAGCTACACCTCTTAACTGTTTTTCACTTCTGTTGGAAGACACATGAGCCCAAAACATTAATTCTGTTTCTCCACAACTACTGCCTGACCTACTGAGTGTTTCCTCCCTTTGTTCTTCCAGTATCTGCCAGATCCCACCTTAGAGCTAATGTACAGATAGTGTGTTTTAAATTTTAAATCATAATTTATTCTTGTATTCTGTAAGGGATTTATTCAAAATGTAGTGTTCATTGGATGTGGTTGCTTGCTATTAGATTATTAGCCAGAAAAGATTGAAACAATTTAGATGTCTGTATTCCAAAAAAAAAGTGTCCTTAACTATTATAGCTCATTCAACCGTGCTGCATTATGGCTCAGTTTTACCTGATTGATTTAATCCATTCATCCCTCTCTTCCCTTGAAGGGGCAGATATCCTGTAAAACTGGTGGTTGCCTTCAACAACCCGCCCATCGGTGTCTGTTTTGCAGGCTTTAATGGTGTGACCTTTGCTGTTGGGACTGTACAAGTCAAAGCAATTCTGCAACATCAAAGTAAAATGGTGTATGATTAATCTGTTATTTCTGCATAATTATAACTTTCTCGCTTCATATCTCCTTTTGTCATCAACATCCTGGAGGTCACCATTGACTAGAAACTGAACTGGACCAGCTATATAAATACCGTGTCTACAAAGGAGCAGTTCAGAGGTTGGGAGAGACATGTGGAGAGTAACCTCCTGACTCTCCAAAGCCAGTTCACCGTTCACAAGCCACAAGTCAGGAGTATGATGGAATACCTTTCATATATCTAGAGGAGTGTGGCTCCAATGATACTTGACATACACAACACCATCCCAGGGTAAGGAGTCCAAATAGTGGGCACCCATCCACCAGCTGAAATATCCAATGCCTGTACCACTGATGTACAGTAGCATCAGTTTGTAACATCTACAGGATGCCCTGTAGCAATGCGCCAAACCTATGACCACAACCACCGAGAAGGACAAGAGCCACAGTTCCATGGGAACACCACCTGAAGGTTCTCACCCAGGTCAGTGTTCTGACCTGGAAATACATCGCCGTTACTTAGGTGTCACTGGTCAAAATCCTGAAACTTCCTCCTTAACTGTACTGTGGTTGTACCTACACCAAATAGAATGCAGCAGTTTGTGAAGGGGGAAATCAAGGGTAATTGGGGAAGGGCAACAAATGCTGGCTAAACCAGGGACACTCGTAACCGAGGAATGAAAAAAAAACTCTGGTACGTCTTAAAAAGAGTAACAGCAACATCTGCTATTTGGTCTTCCTACCTACTGGTGATGCTGTGGTGTCAGTTTTATTTATGTGATGTGGGTGTCGCTGGTTAGACCAGCATTTATTGCCGAGAGGGCAATTAAGAGTCAACCACGTTGTAGTCTGGAGTCACATGTAGGCCAGATCAGGTGAAGATGGCAATTTCCTTCTTCTGAAGGACATTTAGTGAATCAGATTGCTGATTGTTAGGAAAACAATGGATTCATGGTCTTCAATAAACTCTTAGTTCCAGACGTTCATTGAATTCAAATTCCACCATCTGCCATGACAGGATTTGACCCCGGGTTCCCAGACCATTAGGTGAGTTTTTGAATTAATTGTCTAGTGATGGTACCACTCAGCCATTGCCTCTCCATTGCAGCAAACATGGTCAACCTGCATTGAATTTCCTCGGACTAACTGTGCGATGGACCATAGGATCCAATAGGATATCTGCGGAATGGCGACGTTTTGTCCATACCCCATACCTTGACGATAATGAACTGTGATCCAGGAGACCATCACATGCTAGCTCCCCAGCTCCTCAAAACCAACCGTACAATTATGGGTTACCAACTGTCATAGGTTTACATTCAAAACATAAGTTTGCATTCAAAAAAACGTGTACCTTTATCAGAATCATTTTCTGTGAACAATTTTATTAGGTATAAAATCACAAGAGATGGGAATGCAAAAAAGGCCATTTGCTTGGACACAGGTGAAGGGTGGCTCCATGGTTAGCTCAGCTGCCTCACGGCTTCAGGGACCTGGGTTCGATTCCAGCCTCGGGTGACTGAATGTGTGGAGTTTGCATATTCTCTCTGTGTCTGCATGGGTTTCCCCTGGGTGCTCCAGTTTCCTCCCACAGTCTGAAGATGTACAGGTTAGGTAGTGGCCATGCCAAATTGCCCATAGGTCCAGGGATAGCCAGGCTAGGTGGATTAGCCATGGGAAATGCAGGGTTACAGGGATAGGGGGAACTTGGGTCTAGGTGGATTCTCTTTGCAAGGTCGGTACAGACTCGATGGGCCGAATGGCCTCTTTCTTCACTGTAGGGATTCTGAGGACATTAGTGAACCAGCTGGGGTTTTCCTGTTATAAGAGATAACAAGGTGTAGAGCTGGATGAACACAGCAGGCTAAGCAGCATCAGAGGAGCAGGAAAGCTGATGTTTCGGGCCTAGACCCTTCTGCAGAAAACCTGTTTTCCTGTTAATTGACAACAATTTCATGGTCATCTTTAGCCTCTTAATTCCAGGTTTTTCATCGAATTCAAATTTCACCATTGTGCTGCAGTGGAATTTGAACCTAGGTCCCCAGAACATCACCTGGGTCTTTGAATGAATAATTCAGTGATAATACTACTAGGTCATCGCCTCCCTTGTCTCAGCTAAATGGTTTGTTTTCACCTCCTCTTTCCCCTTCTCCTATATTTTTACAACTAAAATTGCTCAGAGATGAAAGAAAACATTTTATGATGTTTCTCATGGGCAACGCTACAGCAGAGAAAAAAAAAATCACTTCTGTCTTTGAAATCTCCGGCACAATCCTAGAGAGTTGGTAACTCCAGCCAGGTATCCTCTCTGGCCTACAAATGGGGTAGTCAGAATGAATGCAGCCTCATCACCCGCAGTAAGTGTGTTAGGAAAGTCACCTGATCCTTTCCCATCAAATAGGGAAATCTTGGTGCTGCATTTAACTTTTTCTGCCAGGACTGCTTCGAAAGATTTCACTTCCTATTATAAATATTATTTAACTTGCAGAAACCTTTTTTTATTTAAATTGCGTACCAATTTTCTGGAGTCTTCCGAAGGTTTCACGCACAAATTTTCCAAAGGAATAATACCGCGGGGTTCTTTATCCTGCGAAAACAGAACAGTGCCTTTTTATTGGAAATATCTTTTTGGAAACTGTATATTTGTGCTTCAGAGCAAAATGCAGTCATGTATCCTGAGGTGCGGCCAGGTCCTCAAATCTTTGCCAATGCAGTGCTACTTCTGCCAATTGGGTACAAGGGAGCAGGAAAGCTGATGTTTCGGGTCAGGACCCCTCATCAGAAATTTCTGATTTTCTGTAGAAACATCCAGACCCGAAATATCAGCTTTCCTGCTCCTCTGATGCTGCCTAGCCTGCTGTGTTCCTCCAGCTCCACACCTTGTTATTTCAGACTCCAGCATCGGCAGTTCATACTATCTCTGGGAGCAATTCAAGATGTCTCCCCTCCCTAATTCTAACAAACCAGCAAGGTGTTGTAAGAGATGCTAACACATAGTTGTGCCTGGACCTTCTTTGGATAGGGTTACTGCCAACCCTTCCTTGAATATTAGTCGATGAAGTGTATTCTAATTTAGTGGTGAAGGATTAATAACTAAAGAGGTATATACTTGAGTAACAAGGCTTTATATATTATTTTATCGTAACAAAATATTACATTAGCTCAAGACTTGTTAACTGCATTAACACTAGGTAAGAGATATTGTTAACTCTGAAGAGTAAAATTTCCTAATCAACCTGTTCAGGAATGTTATGACTCACTTCTAGCAGGTGGGATTTGATAAAAAGCTAGTGTAGTCTGCTACACAGCTGCAGACGGTAGAACTAATAATTCACAACAAATTCACTAACTCCTCCCAGAATATAAACAGAAATATCTCAGTGGGTAGAACTATTCCAAAGCTTCTGGTTAATACAGAATGAGAATGACAGAATCATTGCCAGTGCAGATGGAGGTCATTCGGCCCATTACCAGTCTCAGGTGAACTTCTATAATGGGCGCTGAGCTTCTCTTTGTGTTTTTGGGGAGGAAGGGGAAGTGGAGTGAAAACATATTGCACGCCCACAATGTCACTTTGGGTTTGGAACGTTTTCCCTTTGGTGGAGAACAGTATAACGATCGAGAGTATCACTGTAAAATAGTCAGTGACAAATCCAATAGGGCATGGAGATTACACACTCACTCAGGTTGGGGAAGCAGTCCCAGTTCAACGTGGAGGTGAACCATCCACTCAGTGGCTCCTTTGCTCCAGTGTGATTGGTTGTGAGACCACCAGGAGTGGATCTCCCCATATGGGCAGGAGTTTAGTCTGTCAGTGATTGGCTGGGATAGCCACAGTCACGGGTTTGAACTCTTCCATTTGCTCCAGTTGTGGATCAAGTGACCGTAATTTCCCTGACCCTGAAAAACTGGGATGGGCTGAGGAGTGGCAAATGAAGTTTAAATAAGTGCGAGGCGTTGCATTTTGGTAGGACAAATCAGGACAGGAATTATATATTTAATGGTAGGGTCCTGGATGTGTTGCCAAACAGAGATTTCAGGGTGCACGTTCATAATTCCCTTGAAAGTGGAGTTGCAGGCAGATGGGGTAGTGAAGAAGACGTTTGGTACACTTATTTTTATTGGTCAGTGCATTGAGTATAGGAGTTGGGAGGTCATGCTGCAGCTGTACAGGATATTGGTTAGGCCACTTTTGGAAAACTGCGTACAGTTCTGGTCCTCCTGCTATGGGAAAGATGTTGTGAAACTGGAAAGGGTTCAAAAAAGATTTCCAAGGATATTGCCAGGGTTGGAGGGTTTGAGCTACAGGGAGAGGCAGAATAGGCTGGGGCTATTTTCCCTGGAGCGCTGAATGCTAAGGGGTGATCTTATAAAATCATGAGGGGCATAGATAGGATGAATAGCCAAGATCTTTTTGAAAGGGTAGGGGAGTCCAAAACTAGAGGGGCATAGGTTTAAGGTGAGAGGGGAAAGAATTAAAAAGGACCAAAGAGGCATCTTTTTCATGCAGACAGTGGTGTGTGTATGGAATGAGCTGCCAGAGGAAGTGGTGAAGGCTGGTACAATTACAACATTTAAAAGGCATTTGGATGGGAATGTGAGTAGGGTTTAGAGGAATATGGGCCAAATGATGGCAAATGGGACTGGATTAATTTAGGATATGGACAAGTTGGACCAAAGAGTCTGTTTCCGTGCTGTATGACTCTTTACCCAGGATGTGTAACTCGCTCCTACAGTGAGTGGTAGAAGTGAACAGTTTCCATACATTTAAAGGGCAAGTATGTGGACACGCATTAGAGGGAGCAGGCAAAGATTACAATGATAGATTTAAATGAGGTACGATGCAAAGGAATTTAAGTGGAGCAAAATCAATAGAATAGACTGTTGGGGCTGAATGGCCAGATTCTGTGCTGTACATAACCTTATTTCACACGAATGAAATATGACTTACTGTCGTGTACTCAAAGTAATACAGGCAGTTGTCTGTCAGAATAAACCACCGACGTTTCCATGTTTTCACCCGGCCTCCTGTAATGATAGTGGGGGGGGCATTAATGAGGGGCATCATGTGGCAAATTGTTTAGTGACCCCCTGTCACCACCGCCCCCTGCCACCCCCCGCCCCCCCAACCAGTATGACACAAAGTGAACGATCACACTTTGTACAGGAAATATTGTTAACTCCGTTTCTGACCCAGCTCTATCTGCTATTGAAACCTCAGTGCACTTTACAAGAGTTCAGTTTCTACTCTTTTTTTAAACTGAAAGTAAAGCTCTCCCAACACTCCCCATTAAACACTCCCAGGAAGGGATAGCACAGGCTTATATACAGAGTAAAGCTCCTTCTACTCTTCCAAACTGAAATTAAAGCCGCCTCTAGATTTTTTTAAACTGAAAGTAAAGCTTCCCTGACACTGACCCCATCAAACACATCAAGGACAGGGACAGCACAGGGTTGGGTAAGGAATAAAGCTCCCTCTACTCTTCTAAACTGAAAATAAAGTTTTCTTGACACTGTTGATTAAAAACTCCCAGGACAGGAATAGCACAGGGTTAAGAGTTCAGCGTCTGTTCTTGCACTGAACAAAGCTCTCCTTATCTGGAGACACGAGGTACCTGGAGCACATGATTACTGAAAACGGGCAGCTAGCCTATCACCAGCGGCTGGGCACCAATCCGCATCCTGGAATGGCTAACTGGGAGACTGTCCCACTCTTACTGCCTGCCTGTAGGTGTGTTAGAAGGACCCACTTGTTAGACTACATTAATGAATACACTTTCTGCTTTCATCAAGTCCTGGAATGGGACTCACAGCCAGTGTCTTCTGATTCAAAGACAGGAGTCTTACTCACTGCACCACATGACCTCAGATTGTGGGTAATATTTTTCTTATCACTAGGGTCCCTGGACCCCCTGGCACAGAAGTCAACTATACATCATCCCACCCCTCCACCGCACCCCATCCCTCTCCCTCGGTCCAATAGGCTGCCCCTCAGCCATTTAATTACTCTGAGGGGTATTAGGATCAGGGCTGAACTTCCACTTCCCCATCGAGGGAAGAAGTCCTGCGTCTAAGAGCTGTCAGCCAATCAAATGACAAGCCGCTCTCTGCTCCCTTCAGCGCCATCAGGGGTGGTGGCCAATGCCACGATTGCAGTTGGCCCCAACACACATCATTGCTGGATACCGGTGGATTGGCTAAGATGTGTGTGTGGGGGGGGTGGGTGTGTTGCAGTCCAGGCGGAGAAGCGAGATGACATTAGTAAAGTTTGCACAGCCCAGGGTAACAGAGGAAACCTGGGGAGAGTGGGGGACGGGGTTGGGAAAGGGGAAGCCTGATAGAACAAGGTAGGCCATAAAGGAGGTGGCCCTTCACCCTTTCCCAGTGATACCCCACGATCTGGTATCCACTGGGCTGCCTCCTCCACCCTCCAGAGAGGGCAAATTTGGGTAGAGGCCCTTGAGTGGCCATTTAAAGTGTACAATTGTCTCAGAGGTGGATGGGCAGGGGAACCTGACAAACCCCATCCCCCCTGCTGTGTTGGGGTCAGGATTGGGTGGGGACATCCCATCAGAGGTACTGGAGGTGTTATGTCAAATCCTACGCCCGACTTCTGCCAAATCACCTCTCTCCCGCACCCTCTGGGGAATATACAATGTGGACCAGTGAGTCTGCAACAAAAGATGACGTAAAACATGCCCCAGTGGTCAATTATCTGTTACTTTGGTTGTATTTAGTCCATTATCTTTTAATATTGTCAAAGTGCACAAGGGTTATTGAATCTCTCACTCACCCAGCTTCGAAAGCCATCCTTCCCGGTCTGGGTTGAAAAACGTATGTGTTAAATCATTCCCATCATCCTCTGGGATTTTAAATGGCTCATTCCGAATGCTCTCATACAAATTCTGTACCAAAAAAATTAAAAGGCTGTTGGGGGAGGTTATTTGAAACTGTTATAGTCTGAAAGCACAGTTTGACGCAAAATTCTATCCAGCTGTCTTCAAAATCCCTGGCATTGCAGCTTGCATCCCTCAGTAAGGACGTATTGGCCTAGGAAAAAGTGTGATGCAGGTTCATCAGATACTGGGGCTGAAAGGGTTAGGCAATGTGGACTGACTGCATGGAATCATATGTTACAGAAGAGGCCCTTTGGCCCTTCCAGTCAGTGTTGCCAAAAATGCACCATATCTACCCTAGTCCCACTTCCCAGCACAAGGCTTATTGCTGTCAATCATGGGGCACTTCAAGGGCTCATCCAAATATTTTTAAAGGTTCTGAGGTTTCCCGTCTCAATGACCAAAGTATTCCAGATCCCTAGCACCTGAGCCAAGGCTGGTATCGACCTGGGTGTAGAAGATAGAGCAGAAGGTGCAGATTCTAGTCCCACCTGCTCCAGGGGTGTGCAATTGCATTGCTGATTCGCAAATATGTAGAAGATTGAGGAGTGATCTAATTGAGGCATTTAAGATGATTAAAGGAGTTGGTAGGATAGATACAGAGAAACTATTTCCCCTACAGGAGGGGTGCAAGAGGGCAAAATGTTAAAATTCTGGAAAATATTGATACTAAAACTGTAGATTTTTTTAGGGAGGAGTATTTTAAAAACAGAGCGGTTCGGGGTAGAGAGAGTTAAGGTATAGATCAGCCATGATTTAATGAAATGGCAGAACAAGTTCAAGAGGCTGAATGGCCTACTCCTGTTCCTGGGGGTGTAAGTGCACAGATCATTCTAAGTGGCAGAACAAGTGGAGAGGATACAGTGACCTCAGCTCTATTAATAGGAGTACAGAGTGAGAGAGTAAGCTGGTGATGTTGGACTTGTATAAAATAGTTGTTAGATCTCAGCTGGAGTATTGTGTCCAGTTCAGGGTATCACATAATAGGAAAAATGTGAATGCACTGGACAGGGTGCAGAAGTGATTTATGAGAATGGTTCCAGCAATGAGAAACTTCAGTGATGAGGATAGATTAAAGAGGTTGGGATTGTTGTCCTTGGAGAGAAGAAGGCTGAGAGATTTGATAGAGGTTTTCAAAACCATGAGCGGGCTGGATAGAGCAGATGGGGAGAAGCTATTCCTGTTCATAAAAGGAACAAGAACAAAAGGGTCATAGATTTAAAGTGATGTATAAAAGAAGCATGGGTGAAGTAAGAAAAAAAACTTTTTTTTCACAAAATGAGTAATTGATTTGATTTGATTTATTGCTTTCACTGTACCTCAGTACACATGACAAGTGTTATCTTACATGCTTTATAGGCAGATTGTACTATACAAGTGCACGAGGGTAACAGAACAGAGAGCAGGATACAGTGTTACAGCTCAGGTCTGGAATACACTGCCTGGAAATGTGGTCGAGGCAGGTTCAATTGAGACATTCAAGATGGCAATTTTTTTTTCCTTATCCACAAATGGACCCCAATTGTTTTGTTGATTTAACCTATTTTTCCAAACCAAACCATTCAGGAGACGTTATTACACATCTTTAGAGCAGGTAGGATTTGAACCAGGGTCTCTCAGTTCAGGGGTAGGGACACTAATGCTGCGCCACAAGAGCCTTTATAATTTTGAAATTTTTTTAATTAAACCTATTTTTTTTTCAGGTGGGTATTAGATGATTTTTGGGATAGAAACAACATGCAAGGGTATGGGAAGAAAGCAGGGAGATTGGTACCAGGTAATGATGTTCATTTGCAGAGCCCAGTGCTAGCACAATGGGCTGAATGGTCTCCTTCTGTACCACGATGATTCTGCATTAGCCAACCTCTTGTTCTTTCTTTAATTATGCCCAAAAGTGCCCTTACACACAACCAAATGATTATTCTTCCCCCATCACCAGATCGCCCATTTCTTTTTCTCATCTACTAGCCACCACCAGTAAAGAGCTGTGTTCACTAATTGATTAATTTATATGCAAAGCCCATGAAGGGCAATGAGACCATCATTGAGGGAGAGGAGGAGCATCATCAAATCAAATTGGAGTTGGAAGAGGCGCCCTGTCCTTTCTCAATGAACCCAGGATCCTTGACAGCTACAGGCAGTGAATGATGAGCGAGTGCCTACCCGGAGAAGCTCCTGAGGAAGATCCCCTCCATTGTTAATCCCACGGTTCATTGTTATAAACCTCTCCAGCGTTGGCTTCTCCTTAACATTGGGATTGTGTAGACTTGTGTTCAACATGATTATGGCGAAGGATAACACGTAGCAGGTATCTGCAATGAAAGGCAACAGGTTAGACCTTAAGATGCAAATGCAAATCCACACCCTGGTAAAGTAATTCCAAGACAGTAAGTAAATCAATAACTCCAACAAGTTGATTTCCAACCAGTAGCTTGTTATAAATCCCAGGGCAATGTTCACTTGATATGTTGAACGATGATGTAAGAGAAACATGATTACATCTCAGAGAGTTACCATAATCATCTGAGCATAGAGTAATGCAGCATACAAACAGGCCCTTCAGCCCACCATACCTATGCTGACCAACAAATGCTAAGCTTCTTCAATTCCATTTACCTGCACCTAGTCTGTAACTTGCTATGCCCCAGCATTTTTAAGTGCTTCTCCAAAAGCTTCTTAAACGTTGAGAGTTCCTGCCTCTACCACCCTCTCAGGCAGCACATTCCATATTTCTATCACCCTTTAGGTGGCACAGTGGCTCAGTGATTAGCACTGCTGCCTGACAGTGCCAGGGACATAGGTTTGATTCCAGCCTCAGGCAACTGTCTGTGTGGAGTTTGCACATTCTCCCCGTGTCTGCGTGGGTTTGCTCTGGTTTCGTCCCACAGTCCAAAGATGTGCAGGAACAAAAACAGAAATTGCTGGAAAAGCTTGGCAGCATCTGCAAAGAAAAAAAAATCAGAGTTAACATTTTGGGTCCACTGACCCTTCCTCGGAGTTCGGAGGAAGGGTCACCGGACCTGAAACGTTAACTCTGATTTTTTTCTTTGCAGATGCTGCCAGACCTGCTGAGCTTTTCCAGCAACTTCTGTTTTTGTTCCTGATTTACAGCATCCGCAGTTCTTTTGGTTTTCCAAAGATGTGCAAGTTAGGGCGGATTTTCCATGCTAACTTACCCATAGTGTCCAGGGATGTGCAGGCTGGCTGGATTAACCGTGGGAAATGCAGGGAGAGGGTAGGAGTGGGTCTGGATTGAATGCTGTGCAGTGGGTGTGGACTCGATGGGCCGAATGGCCTGCTTCCGCGCTGTACGGAATGTATGATTCTGGGTGAAAAATGTTTCCTCAGATCTCCTCTCAATCACTTGCTCCTCACCTTACACTTATGCCCTCTGGTCTTAAACACATCTGCCATGGGGAAGAGATTCTCACGATCCATTCTGTCTATACCTCTCACATGTTTGTACACGATAGCTCAATCAGAGTGTCCCCCAGCTTCCTCTACTCCAGTGAAAACAAACCTAGTCTGTCCTGTCTCTCCTCATGACTGGGATTTTCCATGCCAGGCGATATCCTGGAGAATCCTGCCTGCACCCCCTCCAGTGCAATCAAGCAGCTGGCCACAGAACGGTGCTGAGGCCAATCATGATGAAGACTGATCCCTACCGTGTCTCATCTTCAGTTTGATCGGGGAATAAGCGGAGACCATGATAAAGCACTAATGTCTCTAGTCTAGCCAGGCAGAGGCCCAGACTGAATCCCAGCCCTGAAGCTGACACCGAACAAAACTGGAAGGTAATCTCAATCAGGGTGACCATGACAGCTATCACCAATTGACATGAAGCATATCTGGTTCACTTCAGAGAAGGTAATCCCTGTCCTTACCCATGTCTGGTCCATGTGTGACTTCAGGCCTATACCAATGCAATTGATGCTTGACTGCCCTCTGAAATGGCTGAGCAAACCAACCATTTCAAGGGCAATTTAGGGTCTAGAACAAACGCTGGTCTCATGGACAAGTGCAGGAGATCGAGAAAATGTCGAAGAGGTGCTGCTGGTCAATTGTGCCGTAGCTCTGTGAGTAGTCCTGTTTTCTCTCAGCCTAGAAGGTTGCGAGTTCAAATCCCACTCCAGAGACCTTAAGCACAGAATCTCGATGCTCAAACACTGAGGGAGGCCTATGCTGTCCTTTAATTCAGATGTGATGTTAATGTACAGCTCCCCTTACCACCTCAGGTGGAAGTTAAAGATTGCAGGGCATTATTTCTCAAGTTCTCGCTGGTGTCCAGTCATCCCTCACTCCATACCTAACCAAACATTATCTGGCCATTATAACATTACTGTTAGTGAACTTTTCTGTACAGTTCATCCTACATTCCAACATGACTATGCTTCAATGAGTACTCCATTGGTTCAAAAGTGCTTTGGGATCTCTTGGGACCATTGTGCTGCAATATAAGTAAAAATCCTTTCTTTTAAATTGCCCGTGGTAATGCCCATGGTCAATTGAGTTTATATTCATATGTACAAGATGGTGACAGGTTTGGGAGTGAGCACTTGCTGGATAGAGTCACCCATGGCCACTGCTTGGAAATACGCTGTAGTAATTGGAACGAGGTCAACCAGGTGAACTTCATAGAATATGAGTTCCCTGATTGGGGCTTTTTAAAATTCATTTGAGAGATGTGGGCATCACTGGCTGCCCGGCATTTATTGCCCCCCCCACAGTTGTCCTTGAGAAGATGGTGGTGGTGATGGCTACTAACCTGGTCCAATCAGGGAGCCCTGGCTGACACATTAAACAGGAATGTCAGGGGTTCTGCTCAGCCTAGGAGCTGGCTGTGAGCTTATTGGTCAGGGTCATGTACTATACACATGTAAATAAAGATGGACGTGGTGAAGGTATACCAGCCTCTGTGGAGTTATTTCATACACCGTGACAGTTGGCCTGGCAAAGCTGAATGGGAAATGATGAGTCCCCAAATTTGAATGTTGAGAGGAAAATTTGACTGAAAATTGTGACAATGGGAAGAAGGTTTATGAACAGGAGGTGTGAAAGATTTTTACCAATAATTTTCCCTGTAATGGCATCATAAGTGTTGGTACAGAGATCGATCGTTTCCTACCTGTTGATTGGAAAACGCCTGGGTTGCAATGACAGTAACGTATTGCAAAAGCCTCCATCATTCTATCGATCTTCTGTGCTTCACCTGGTAACCGGAAGCTCCATAGAAACTGCCTGCAGGTTAGAGAAAGCGTATAGTTTGGGAAAGGATTCAGGTAGAGATACATCAATGCTTTATACAGGGGATAGGAAAACAATTGGATAGACTGTCCTGTTAAAATGAGCGATGGTGCTGCTGAAGAAAGTTTACAGTGGTGGCCTGGATCTGAACCTAAGCATAAGGAGCAAGCCTTTCAGCTCCTCAAACCTGCTCCATCATTTGATACACAATCATAGCTCATTTCATCTCTGCCCTCAACTCCACATTCCTGCCCACTCCTTATAACCCTTCAACCCAATACGATTAAAAATCTATCTCCTCCTTAAGTTTATTCCATGTGTCAGCATCCAGCACACTCTGGGGGAGTGAGTTACACTGATTCATGACCCTTTGAGAGAACTAATTTCTCATCACATTAAAAATGGAACAAAGAACTGCAGACGCTGAAGATCTGAAATAAAAAGATATCAATACAGGAAGAGAAATCTGTAATTGTCTGGTTTTTCGTTATTCTTCCTGGAATATCAATTTTGTTGGCAAGGCCAGCAGTTGTTACCCATCCTTAATTGCCCCTCAACTGAGCTTGCTCAGCCATTTCAGAGGATAGTTGCTGCAGGTCTGGAGTCACATATAGGCCAGACCAAGTGAGGATGGCAGACTTAAAAACCGAAAGAACTGCGGATGCATGTAAATCTGGAACAAAAACAGAAGTTGCTGGAAAAGCTCAGCAGGTCTGGCAGCATCAGAGAAATCAGAGTTAACGTTTCTGACGAAGGGTTACCGGACCCGAAACGTTAACTCTGATATTTTCTTCACAGATGCTGCCAAGGATAGCAGATTTCCTTCCTTTCAGAGAACACTATGTTTTGTGTTGGTGAACAATAGTTTTGTGGATACTATTTCAGTAATTTTAAATTCAAATTCCACCAGCCATCACATGTAAAGTGGACAGTGAAGAAGGTTATCTCAGAGCACAATGGGATCTTGATCATAGGGGCCAATGGGCTGATGGGCCTAGGAGTGGCAGATGGAGTTTAATTTAGATAAATGTGAGGTGCTGCATTTTGGAAAGGCAAAGCTTGGCACGACTTATACACTTAATAGTAGGGTCCTGGGGGGTGTTGCTGAATAAAGAGACCTTGGGGTGCAGGTTCATAGTTCCTTAAAGGTGAAGTTGCAGGGAGACAGGGTAGTGAAGGTGCCATTTGGTACACTTGGTTTATTGGGCAATGCATTCAGTATAGGAGTTGAGAAGCCATGTTGCAGCTGTACACGACATTGGTTAGGCCACTTTTGGAATACTGCGTTCAATTCAATCCAATTTGTTCTCTATCAAATACTCTATCCCCTAGGACAATCAGAAGGATGTTGCTGGGGTTGGAGGGTTTGAGCTACAGGGAGAGGCTGAGGAGGTTGGGGCTATTCTCCATGGAGCGTCGGAGGCTGTGGGGGTGACCTTATGGAGGTTTATAAATCATGAGGGGCATGGATAGGGTGAATTGTCAAGGTCTTTTCCCAAAGGTCGGGGAGTCCAAATCTAGAGGACATAGGGGAAAGATTTAAAAGGGACCTGAGGGGCAACATTTTCATGCAGAGGGTGGTGCATGTATGGAACGCGTTGCCAGAGGAGATGGGGGAGGCTGGTACAATTACAGGGTATCTGGATGGATGTACCGCAGGCTACACCTGCCCCTACACCTCCCCCTTCACCTCCATCCCAGGCCCCAAGAAGACTTTCCACATCAAGCAGATGTTCACCTGCACATCTGCTAATGTGGTATACTGCATCCGCTGTTCCTTTTGTGGCCTCCTCTACATCGGGGAAACCAAGCGAAGGCTTGGGGACCGCTTTGCGGAACACCTACGCTCGGTTCACACTAAACAACTGCACCTCCCAGTCGCAAACCATTTCAACTCCCCCTCCCATTCCTCAGACGACATGTCCATCCTGGGCCTCCTGCAGTGCCACAACGATGCTACCCGAAGGTTGCAGGAACAGCAACTCATATTCCACTTGGGAACCCTGCAGCCCAATGGTATCAATGTGGATTTCACAAGTTTCAAAATCTCCCCTCCCCCTACCGCATCCCAAAACCAGTCCAGCTCATCCCCGCCTCCCTAACCTGTCCTTCCTCCCACCTATCCCCTCCTCCCACCTCAAGCCCCACCCCCATCTCCTACCTACTAACCTCATCCCGCTCCCTTGACCTGTCCGTCCTCCCTGGACTGACCTATCTCCGCTCTACCTCCCCACCTACACTCACCTTTACTGGCTCCATCCCCACCTCTTTGACCCGTCTGTTTCCTCTCCACCTATCTTCTCCTCTATCCATCTTCTATCCGCCTCCCACTCTCTCCCTATTTATTTCAGAACCCCCTTCCCCTCCCCCATTTCTGAAGAAGGGTCTAGGCCCGAAACGTCAGCCTTCCTGCTCCTCTGATGCTGCTTGGCCTGCTGTGTTCACCCAGCTCTACACCCTGTTATCTCAGATTCTCCAGCATCTGCAGTTCCTACTATCTCGGATGTATGAATAGGAAGGGTTTAGAAGCATATGGACCAAATGCTGGCAATGGGACTAGATTAATTTAGGATATCTGGTCAGGTTGGAAGAGTTGGACCGAAGGGTCTGTTTCCATGTTGTATGACTCTATTTTGTGTGAAACTATTAGTTCATCACATCATCATGGAATTTGAACTGATAAAGTACTAATTAAGTGACATTACCACACTGCTCCACTATCACTCCTGTGGTTAGCTAACAGTTTCACTCAAATATTCTCCCTTGCCACTGCCTGTTAGGAAGTGATAGGAATTGTCGGCTGCATTTTAATGAAACTGACAGGGGAATGGTGGGAAAATGCTTGGATTGGAAATGAAGGTAGAAAGGAAAAAACTGAAAGATGGGGCCAGAAATTGAAGAGAAAGAAGATGAGAAAAATGGGAACAACTGTGAGAATCCATGAGGAGAAAGAAAAGCCTTTGAACAGTTTGTGCAGAAAGTGAGACCGTGGAGGACCCCCTCTGGCTCTGCAAGGTTCTTTACCTCAGTGCCTGTACAAGGTTGAGATCTGCAAGTTCATGAAGCTCGACAAAGCACTGTAGGGTCTTGATGTATACTTCCTCTCTGAAGAAACAAAAGCAGAACATAAAATTCAACAAAGGTATTCAACTTTAGCCAAACACATCTCTTGTTTCCCATCAGCACCCTCGGCACCACTCCCACCCCAACCTCCCACACACTCCTACTCTCCTATCCCATTCCCTACCCTCATCCCCAATCCCACCCCCATATCCCACCCCCCCCCCACCCCCCCCCCCATCCTCACCCCCACCCCCATGTCCACCCTCACCCCTCCCCTGCCCCATATCCGACCCTACCCTCACCCACACCCCTACCCCCTTATCTCACCCCCAACCCCACCTGCATATCCAACTCCACCCCTACCCCCATATCTCACCCCCAACCCCACCTGCATATCCAACTCCACCCCTACCCCCATATCTCACCCCCAACCCCACCTGCATATCCAACTCCACCCCTACCCCCATGTCCAACCCAACTCTCATCACCACGTCCAACCCCACCCGCACACAGCCGTATCCACCCCCACCCGCACCTTACCCACCCTCATCCCCATGACCACCCCTGCATCCGCTCACACCCTACTCCCAATATTCAATCCTACCCCCACCCTCACTCCTACTTCACCGTCCCCATATACAGCCCCACTTCCTACCTCCGCATCCCCACTCCCAACCACACGTTCTTGCATCCCCAGCCCAATATCTAATATCAACCTTACTCCCACCTTCAAACTCAAATTACATGCCCACTCTTACCCCGTATGGTCATCAGCACATTCCCATTGGGGCGGGATTACAGTGCAGAAACTCACAGCCTCTTTTTTATACTGTGATGTGGGGGTTAGTTTGGCTCTGTTAACTGAGTGGCTGGTTAGTGATGCTTGCAGCATGAGTCCAATCCCTGCACTGGCTGAAGTTACTCTGACGGATTATTGCTCTCCACATGCCTGCTGTGTGGTGACCCTCAGGCTAAACCATCACCACCAGTTGTCTCTTTCTCACAAATGAGAGAGAGCAGCCCTATTGTCTGGCAAGACTGTGGCAACTTTACCTTTATTATAGGTTGACACACTTCCAAGAGCATGCCATTGGGCTTAGGACTTGAGATCATAAAAGGTGCAATTTAAATGCAAGTTCTTTCTGTTTCCTCCTCAGGTTTTTAGGGGCACACACTCTACTGTTGGTCAATCCCACAACCTCTATTTGATATGGAGCTCACCTCTGTCCGAGATAGTCTCCTATGGCTGTTTTATGCAGGCCTTCCCCCTTGTATAGGAACTTGGCTACATCTTCTTCCTTCGGAGATAACAATTTGTTCTTTATCAAATACTCTATCCCCTAGGACAATGAGAAAATGAATTATAAGCACAGATCCTATCGGATTATACCTCACAGTTGGTACAGAAGTATCCCTTTAAGAAGAGTTCTCATTAATCATAAACACTAAATCATAACATGTGACCTAAGCATATTAAGGTCTCAAACTCCATCTTACCTCAGATCACTTGAAGCCTGCTGCTCTGTTGAAACCTAATACCTTAATGTTAGCCCAGACACTTATGTGCCAGAGGAATGTAGTACTTGTATATAATAGTTCAGTCTAATAAATGACTGTTGGATTCTTCAATACTACAAAATCCATACTCAGCTTCTTATGGTGCAGAAGATAATCTAATCAGGAAAAGTACCCTTTGGAGGGGTAAGTCACACCAACTCCAAATTTACTTTGTCTAAAGTCTGTGCAATTTCACTCAAACACCCCAAAATCTGGAATGCTTTCAATAAAACTAAGATTGCATTTGAGTGAATCAAAAGCACTTTATATCAACAACTATGTATATTTATAAAATGCCTTTAACCTGGTAAATGTTTGACAGAAAGCCACATCAGGGGATATTAAGTTGGGTGACTGTGAGGTTCTAATTTCTTGTGGGGCTCTTAGGACCTGAGAACAGCTCGAGGCAAATCAGGATTTAATGTTGCATGAAGAGATTTGTTAGTATCCTTGCCCCTGAGCCAGGAGACCTAAGTTCAAGTCCTAACTGTTCCAGAGGTGTGTCATGACATCTTGGAACAGCTTGATTTGAAAAAAAAATCCTTAATGTTGCACAAATGAACAAAAAGAATCCTTTTATTACCACAGCATGGAATTTTCCCATTTTGTTCTAACTGGGTGGTGGGTAGTTACTAGTTGGGTAGTTACTAACACACCATCCCCAACTGCACGTCATCTGATCACCCACCAATCAGCTCACTCATAGGTGGCAGGTCAAGTATCTTGCCCTATCTCAACCTTCAACACTGGCAACCCTGGTTGACCAGAAGCTGCTGGCCAATCTGAGCTCAAGGCCTCAGGAATTCAGCAGTGGGAAAGTAAGTCTCTTGTTTTTTCTAGTTGTGATGTGGGGTTTGTGGGAAGGGATCAGAATCAAGGGGGTGGGGGGGGCTACTTCCTTTTGGAGCCCAACCTCATGCAGACCTCCAAATTCCCCCAAATTGGGGCAATTAAAGGCTCTTCCCCTGACACAAACTAACAGGCATGGTGAAACGAGCCACCTTTCCTGCCTGCTGGGGAGGCAGGTGATCAGGGACCGTGGGATTTTTTTGAGGCACTTAGTCGCCATTAATTGACCATTTGAGGGCCTTAGCCTCTGGTGAGCTAAGAAAGTCCCCAATGGGTCTTCTCTCCCAACACTTCATAACTGAGGTTAGGGCCTGAGGTTTCCTCCAGGGTCAACTCGCCCCATTATTTTCCTCTTTTGAAGGGTGTGAAAAATCACGCCCACATGTTTTCTGCTGCTCCTTATGAAAGCTCCATCTGCTGGTCTTGTACTGTATGGCAGCTACACGTCAACGCTATACAAACTGCATTTCAAAATATTGCAATGCTACAGTGACCAAAAGCTTTGTCAAAGATGTTGGATTAATGGCTGTCTTAAAGGAGGAAGGAGTTTTGCAGAAGCAGGGAGGGAATTACAGATTTTAAGATCTAGACAGTCATAAGTACAGTCAGCAATGTTTTTTTTTCCCTATTCCTACATGGAATATGGTGTCACTGGCTAGGCCAGCATTTATTGCCTATCCCTAATTGCCCAGAGAGCAATTAAGAGACGACTGATGCCAGAGAATAGTGACTTTGTACACTTTTCACTGACTATAAAATCTAATGCAAAAATTGCTGTGGATCATGAGTCACATGTAGGCCAGACCAGGCATGAACAGGCAGATTTCCTGATCTAAAGGGCATTAATGAATCAGATGGGTTTTTTATGACAATTGACAGTGGTCACATTATCACCATTAGACCATTTTTTAATTCCAGAATTTTATTGAATTCAAATTTCACCATCTGCCATGCTGCGATTTGAACCCAGGTCCCTAGAACATTAGCCTGAGGTTCATCAATAACAAATCTTTCAACCTAACCACTGTGTCACTTCCTTCTTAAAGGAACAAAGGGAATTGTGGATGCACAAGAAGGAAAGTATGAATAGCTTAATTTAACTGCAGTGGAGTAGATTTGATTCAAAAATAGAATCATACAGAGGTACAGCACAGAAACAGACCCTTCGGTCCAATGCGTCCATGCTGGCCAGATATCCTAAATTAATCTAGTCCCATTTGCTAGCATTTAACCCATATCCCTCTAAACCCTTCCTATTCATGTACCCATCCAGACGCCTTTTAAATGTTGTAATCGTACCAGCCTCCACCACTTCCTCTGGCAGCTCATTCCACACACACACCACCCTCTGCATGAAAAGGTTGCCCCTCAGGTACCTTTTAAATTTTTCCCCTCTCACCTTAAACCTATGCCCTTTAGTTTTGGACTCCCCCCACCCCAGGGAAACAACCTTGGCTATTTACCCTATCCATGCCCCTCATGATTTTATAAACCTCTATAAGGTCACACCTCAGCCTCTGATGCTCCAGGGAAAATAGCCCCAGCCTATTCAGTACCTCCTTATAGCTCAAACCCTCCAAACCTGGCAACCTTGTAAATCTTTTCTGAACCTCTTCAAGTTTGACAACATCTTTCCTATAGAAGGGGGACCAGAATTGAACAAAGTATTCGAAAAGTCACCTGACCAACATCCTGTACAAGCGCAACATGACCTCCCAACTCCCCCACTCAATGCACTGACCAATAAAGGCAAGTGTACCAAATACCACCTTCTCTACCCTATCAACCTGTGACTCCACCTTCAAGGAACTATGAACCTGCACCCCAAAGTTTCTTTGTTCAGCAAAGTTCCCCAGCACTTTATCATTTAGTGTACCTTCTCTGCTATAGTAACACTGGTGTAATGGCTATAAACCTAATTAGCAACATAGCAAAGTGTGATTGGTTAATGTACCAAGAGATCCCTTTGTACTTTGTTGTGTGTTTCTATTCCAAGGGCAGTTTGTGGGGAAAAGGCTTTAGCTCCACTGAGCTATTTTTCCTTCAGGGACCAAAGGGTGTGTTTCTGCACCTAACCCCCTGGAGGGGAGGTCATCAGCCACAGAGATAACAACAGCACCATGGGATCAACCCTTCCATCACCAACAGGGATCAAGCAAAGCCCCAGAAAGGAAATCCACTCATCAAAGATCTTCAAAACACTCGCCAGTCACATTCCACTGTTGTTGGCCTGGCCAAGTTCCCTGGCATGGAGTCATGCTGCACGGAATGCACACACAACTAGGGATGGTACAAAATCAAACCAGTTATTCCGTACGGAAATAGTGAGAAAATTATTTGGAATGTGTACAAGCTGGCTCACAGATCTGGTGTTAGAATGTTTCAGGTCTGTACAAAAATGAAGCTGGAAAACCCCACTGAGTCAGGTAGTATCTGTGAAGAGAAAGAGTTAATGTCACAGGGCTTCATCGCCTTTCATAAGGTCTGATGAGGGGCTATCATCATGAGACACTAATTCTGTTTCTGTCTACCGATCCTGCCTGACAGTTCTCATCTCAGATTTCCAGGAACTGCAGTATTTTGGTTTTGTGTTTTACATATTTTGTGTGTGACAGTTTGGGCATGGCCAGGGATTGTGCCAATGTGAGAGTCTAGGTGCTGGGCACTTCCTCATTTTGCAGGGAACTATGTACTTTTGGAATGGGTTACAGTCTGTGCTAATACCCTGCAAAACAAGTGCCGGACCAGAGCTAGGAGTTATACCTGAGAAGTAATTTACCTGTTGACATAATAGTCATAATAGGCTGCATGGTTTTGTGCAAGTGTCTCACCAACTTGATTGAGTTGTTTGAGGAAGTAACCAAGAAAATTGATGACAGCAGAGTGGTAGACATTGTTTACTTGGACTTTAGTAATACCTTTGACAAGGTTCCACATGGTAGTCTTTTTAGTAAAGTTAGATCACATGGGATTCAGGATGAACTTGCCAATTGGATATAAAATTGGGTTAACTGCAGGAGACAGATGGCGATGGTGGAGGGTTGTTTTTTGGACTGGAGGCCTGTGACCAGCGTGTTCCACAGGGATTGGTGCTGGGTCCTCTTTTGTTTGTCATTGATTTAGATTAGAATATAGAAAGCATGGTTAATAAGTTTGCGGATGACACCAAGATTGCTAAATTGGACAGCAAAGGAGGTTATCTAAGATTACAAAGAGATCTTGATCAATTAGGTCAATGGGTTGAAGAGTTGCAAATGGAATTTTAATTTGGATAAATGTGAGGTATTACATTTTGGTAAAACAAACAAAGACAAGACTTTTACAATTAAAAGTAGGGCTTTGGGTAGTGTTGTAGAACAGAGAGACCTAGGGGTTCAGGTACACAATCTTTCAAATTTGCATCACATGTAGACAGGGTGGTTAAGAAGGTGTTTAGCACGTTTGCCTTCACTGCTCAGACCTTGAGTGTAGAAATTGTGATGTTATGTTGAGAATGTACAGGATGTTGGTGAGGTGTCTTCTGGAGTACTGTGTCCAGTTCTGGTCTCCCTGTAATAGCAAGGATATTATAGAGCTGGAGAAGGTTCAGAAGAGAATTACCAGGATGTTGCGAGGACTGGAGGGTTTGAGTTATAAGGAGAGGCTGGATAGGCTGGGACTTTTTTCACTGGAGCGTAGGAGGTTAAGAGGTGGCCTTATAGAGGTTTATAAAACCATGAGGAGTATGGATAAGATGAATGACAGGTGTCTTTTCTGCATGGTGAGGTATTTCAAGACCGGGGGCATATTTTTAAGAGGAGAAAGATTTTAAAAAAGACATGAGGGGCACTTTTTTTTTGTACACACAAGGAGGTTCATGTGTGGAATGAACTTCCAGAGGAAGTGGTAGATGCAGATACAGTTACAACATTTAAAAGCCATTTGAATAAATACATGAATAGGAAAGGTTTGGAGAGAGATGAGCCAAACACAAACAGGTGGGACTAGTTTAGTTTGGGATTACGGTTGGATCGAAGGCTCTGTTTCTCGTGCTGTACAACTCTATAAGCCTGATCCCCTGGACTTGTAGAATTCCTACAGTATGGAAACAGGCCATTTGGCCCATCAAGTCCAATCCTCTGAAGAGCATCCCCACACAGACTCATCCCCATGGCCCTGCATTTCCCTTGGCTAATCTACCTAACCTGCACATCTTTAATGTGTACGAGGAAACCGGAACACCCGGAGAAAACCCGTGGAGAACATGCAAACTCCACACAGACAGTCACCCGAGACTGGAATTGAACCCAAGTCCTTGGCAATGTGAGGCAGCAGTCGTAACCACTGAACCACCGCGCTGCTCTATGCAAGTCAAATAATGAGCAAATTATCTAAAGAGAACACTTCTTAAAGGGACATGGTAACTAAACAAATAAAGCCTGTAACTAAAGCAGAAACTTCAGTGGACAATTATTGAATTAAAATGTAATGCCAGGGGCTGTTGATACCCTCCAGTTCCTGTGGCACAGGCTGATCACAAAAGGTGTGATCTCCTGGATACACGATGATCCCTCGGTGTTCCGAGAGGAATTAACTTCCTTTTGTTTGGCCACTTTATTTTTGGTTTTGCTTAATTGACTCTCCCAGGCCATCAGTCAGGTATGGAATATCTAGTCATGGTGTTGGAGATAGCAAGGACTGCAAATGCTGGAGTCAGAGTCAACACAGTGTGGACCCAGTTCTGATGAACGGTCCTGACCCAAAACATCGACTTTCCTGCTACTTTGATGCTGCCTGACCTGCTGTGTTCCTCCAGTTCCACACTGTGTAGACATGGTGTTGTCAGCATCGTGAATGTAAAACAGACAGAATAAGCCAGTTCTGAGGAAGGATCACCGGACCCGAAATGTTAACTCTGTTTTTTTTCCTTTCAGATGCTGCCAGACCTGCTGAGCTTTTCCAGCAACTTCTTTTTTTGTTCCAGATTTACAGCATCTGCTGTTCTTTCGGTTTTTATTTAGAAAAAAACCAGCTAACCCTTACCTGTCTATCATTTTCCTTTGTTAGTATTTACAAGACAATAATTACCATCAAATCTTCAAAGTTGTTTTTATCTCTCTCTAAGACTTTAGCATTCGAGCGAAATATCAGTTGATCAGCTCTTCAGGTTGAGAATAGATTTTGGCATTTCCTACAGGCGTCTTTGTTTCCTGTGGTTTTTCAGTGTTACTGCCCACAAAACAAGCTGCACTAAATAACAGCATCCAAGATTTACCTTGCTCTCTCTCCAGCTAATAGTTTGCATTTCAACAAACAGTGCAGTGTTTGTTTTCTGAAGCTTTGCTGCACATTAATCTTATAACAACAGGCTCGACATCACACTGCACTTTCTAAGTTAAGAATGAATTTACTAAATTCAGGCCACTCTCATCTCCGCTTGGATGGAACAAGAGTAGAAAGCAAAACTGAACCCATTGGACTGAATTTGGTTTGACCAAAGCATGTACAAAACCGTTCGGTTTGCTGAAGGAAGGACAGCTTTGTCTCCATAAACTTTCCCCAGCCCTACAACATCTGAGGGTATTATGTAGTTCTGATTCTAAACTGCCATGCATTCTCCACATCTTTCAACCCACCAAAGGTGGTCAGACTATTATTCATCCCAACTCTGAACTCTGGAATTCCAATCTCCAAACCTCAACGGCTGCCTCTCTTCCTTGAAGACTGTACTTAACTCCTTACCTCTTTTGGTGAAGAGTTGGACCGCCTGTCCTCGGGAGGAGGGGAGGTGGTGGGGTTCAGAGGGGCTACATCAGGGTCCAACAACTGGGACACCCTGGGGGCTCATTGTGCTCCAGCTGGGGAGCTGAATTTGGGTCAGGGGCCAAGGAGGACCAGGCCAGGAGCAGCACCAACACCTGTCATTTCTTTCCAAGCCCCTGTGTAAAGTCTTCTTCAGCTCGGTGTCAATTTTTGTCTGTTTCGCGTCCAATGAAACGAGTCGGGGGATTGGGGTGGGGACAGGTTCTACGTCCAAGGTCCTACATAAGGGTGGCACACCGTCTAAGGGGTTAGCACTGCTGCTTCACAATGCCAGGGACCTGGGTTCAATTCTAGCCGTCGGCGACTGTCTGTGTGGAGTTTGCACATTCTCCCCGTGTCTGTGTGGGTTTCTTCAGGGTGCTCCGGTTTCCTCCCACAGTCTAAAGATGTGCAGGTTAGGTTGGATTAGCTGCGGGGAATTGCCCGATCGGGTCAAAGGGGTGTACAGGTTAGCTATGGTATAAATCTTATGTGAGGTTACAGAGATGGGCTAGAATGCTCTTCAGAGGGTCATTGCACTTGATTGTCTGAATGGCCCCTATCTGCACTGTAGGGTTTTGACAAAATGTCTCTTAGAGAAGAAAACAAAAAACAAATCACACTTCTACAACGTGGTCCTGTCCCTTTTCAGAGCACGAAATGAACTCCGGTTTACTTCTTGGAGGTTCCAGAACAATCCGGGAGAGCTGACAACCTCATGTTGATTGGTGGTCATGTGATCCAGTTGACTTGTGCATGTTGAAGTTTGGAGCTATGGAACGGTGCAGACTCCAGCATTCTCTCCATCCCAGGGCTGCACAGTAACCCCCACCTGCTCCTACCACCCCCTATTGGACGGATTTGCAGGTTGATACTCAACTTGATCTGAAAACCACTTCCTTGACCATCAAGACCTGGAGCAGGACATGAATCCAGAATCTGCTGGCACAGAGACAGGGGCACTGCCCACTGTGCCAGCAGACTTCCATAATCTGTTGGCTGGGATGATGAAGTCATCCACAGCAATCATAAAGAGGATATTTTTAAGGACCAGTGGCACGCATAATTTTGACAGCCACAGTTGCTCACCCAATCTCCAAATTGAAAAGGAATGAATCAATGATCATCAACGTTTCGTCCATGTACTTGCCAAGGTGAGGAATGGTCAAGTTAAGAACTTGTTTGTTTTTATAATAAAATCATGGAGTGGTCTCTATGCAGAAGGAAGCCATTTTGCTCAGTGTGTCAGTGCCAGCTCTCTGCAAGAGCTTTTCTTTTTCTATTTCATTCATTTATGGGGTGAGGGCATCGCTGGCTAGGCCAGTATTTATTGCCCATTCCAGAGGGCAGTTTCAGAGTCAATCACATTGCTGTGATGCTGGAGGCATATGGAGACCAGACCAGATAAGGATGGCAGTTTTCTTCTCTAGAATACATTAGAGGAGTCTTTGGGAAGCAGAGAAACCGATATTCAAGAAGGGTTAACTTTTCAAAATGGAAGTCCCATCAAAGGTTAGGGACTCTTCCCCTGGGCAGAGCTCTTTAAACTCTTCAAAATCTAATCTAAGACTAATGAGTGATGGTGACATGGAGAAAGAAGTGTTATTTTTGCAGTACAACACTGTGCATTTCTTATGGTTTCCTGTCATTGCTGCTAAGTGTGCTACGAAAGGATGTAACCTTGTAATTGTGGACAATCGTGAGTCAACCCAGGCATTAACCAGAAATGATCTTATTTACCTTGCCTTCATGAACCTCTACAGTCCACCTGCTGTGGGTTGACCCACATGTCATTCGGGAGGGAATTCTGGGGTTTTGACCCAGTGACCCTGAAGGAATGGAGATATATTTGCCATTTCAGGGATCCAAGTGGACAGTGAAGCTACCCTGAGGAAGTGGCTTGAGAAATTAATGACTTTTTACTAGATGATCTCACTGTATTTTTCAATCTCTTCTCAGTCCAGAAGTTCATCTCATTTTAATCTATTACCTTCCCTTGCAACCTCATTCTACAGCTTCATTATCCTTTGAGTGTCGGACTATTTCCCTGCCTTACTTTCTTTCATTGAATTGACTCTTTCATCTTTGACTCCGAAGACCTGAGCAACAATTCTAAGGCATTTTTTTTTTCAATTCCCTTGGCCATTTTGAAGACTGTGTTTCTCAAATTTGGAGAGAAGCTGGGATTAACCCTTGCACTTTGAAAGAGCTGAATGGCTTCCCTCTGTACTGTACCATTCTAAAGCGTGCATGCAAGAAAAATAGGAATGGATTCTAATTATTGAGAATTTGCCATTGACCCCCTTTAGAAGTAGGAAAAAAGGGGCAAGAACACAAGAAATAGGTACAGAAGCAGGCCATCAAGCCTGCTTCTCTATTCAATAAAATCATGGCCGAACTTGGGCTTCAAGTCAAATTTCCTGCCTGTCCCCATTTACAGCAGAAGTTGGGAACACAATAGATCAGCAGAAGAGAATAAATAAGGAAGAAGCTGAGACATGGAAAATATTCAATGGAAAGCTAAATCGAATACTGAGTACCTTCTTGGGATCCGTGTTGAATTTCTTCTTTCCCATGGCCATCAGCTTGTTCCTCTCAGCAGTTGTGCTAAATGAACAGAGGGAAACGTTAGTAAGGAATCATTCAGCATTGAACATGAATCTGAACTGGGCCCTCTCTTCAAGGAAACGTCTTCGAGCCAACAGCGTTGTCCAAAATTGAGCAGGCTACTTTTGTACTTCAAGCATTTCAAATAGTAAGTAAATAACAGGAGAGAGGATTGTGTACTGTTACCTTTTCCTAATTCTCCAATATTGAAGATGTTATAAACCAGCTTCACCCACTGTTGCCATGGCACCATTCTCTCAGCGGTAACTGGTAGTTAAGGTTAGCTGGGTTACTTAGCCACTCAATCCTGCTAACCACAAACCTCAAACTGGACTCACCATAAATGCAATGGATCCAAAAGCAGGTCAGAGCTTGGGAATACTGCAGCAAGTAACTCACCTCCTGACTCCCCAAAGCCTGTCCATCAACTACAAGGCACAAGTCAGGAGTGTGATGGAATACTCCCCACTTGCCTGGATGGGTGCAGGCCCAACAACACTCAAGAAGCTTGACACCAGCCAGGGCAAAGCAGCCCCCGCTTGATTAGCACCACATCCACAAGCATCCACTCCCTCCACCACCGACGCTCAGTAGCAGCAGTGTGTACCGTCTACAAGATGCACTGCAGAAATTCACCAAAGATCCTTAGACAACACCTTCCAAACCCACGACCATTTCCATCTCGAAGGACAAGGGCAGTAGATACATGGGAACACCACCACCTGCAAGTTTCCCTCCAAGCCACTCACCATCCTGACTTGGAAATATATCGCCGTTCCTTCACAGACAGTGGGTCAAAATCCTGGAATTTCCCCCTCCCCAATCGCATTGTGGGTCTCCCTCAGCACATGGACTGCAACAGCTCAAGAAGGCAGCTCACCACCACCTTCTCAAGGGGCAACTTAGGATGGGCAATAAATGCTGGGCCCAGCCAGAAATGCCTACAGCCTACATGTGAATATAAAAAAGTATAAAAACATTTTTTAAGAAATGAATTTTATGCTACTGGCTCAGCAAGAACCCCACCAGCCCAAAGACAGCAGGGATCCTTCTGTAAATAGAGTTATGGACCAGACCAGTTCCCCTCAAAAGATTTTAAGAAGGTAGCCTAGACCCTAACTTTTCCTTATTTTAAAGGCAAATGTAATATGCTGTGTTCCAGATGCAATGTGACTGGTCAAAACACTCGATGTTAAGCAAAACACAAAAGTGGAGTCGTAGGTAGACAGGATAGTGATGAAGGCATTTGTATGCCTGCCTTTATTGGTCAGTGCATTGAGTATAGGAGTTGGGACGTCATTTTGCAGCTGTACAGGACATTAGTTAGGCCACTTTTGGATTACTGTGTGCAATTCTGGTCTCCTTGCTATAGGAAGGATGTTGTGAAATTTGAAAGGGTTCAGAAAAGATTTACAAGGATGTTGCTGGGGTTGGAGTGTCTGAGCTATAAGGAGATACTGAATAGGCTGGGACTATTTTCCCTGGAGCGTCGGAGGGTGAGGGGTGACCTTCTAGAGGTCTATAAAATCACGAGGGGCATGGATATGGTGAATAGCCAAGGTCTTTTCTCCAGGGTGAGGGAGTCCAAAATTTAAGGGCATAGGTTTAAGGTAAAAGGAGAAAGATTTAAAAGGGATCTAAGGTGCAGCTTTTTCACACAGAGGGTGGTGTGTGTGTGGAATGAGCTGCCAGAGGAAGTGGTGGAGGCTGATACAATTACAACATTTAAAAGGCATCTGCATGGGTATGTGAATAGGAACGGACTAGAGGGATATGGGCCAAATGCTGGCAAATGGGACCAGATTAATTTATCTGGTTGGCATGGACAAATGGGGTCGAAGGGTTTGTTTCCGTGTTGTACAAAGCTATAACACTATGACACTTTAGTCAAAATACAACGAAAGAAAGAGGAATTTAGAATAGCTTAACTCTATTGGAAATCTTAACAAAATAATAGATGCAGTAACTATTACTAATTAATTGCTTTAATTTGGTAATATCCCATAAATACACCCCTTGGCAAAAAAGGCAAATTCAGAAAATAGATTTGTCTGTACGGTAACCCAGCAACAGAGAGAAACCCCAGCTTCTAGCTGTAACTGAGAGAGGGAAAAGACTGCTTCTACTTCTTCAAAACTCCAGCAGCCTCTGCCCTGTTGAGACTTCAACAGCAACTGCTTAAATCTAACCCTAAAACTAAACAAAACGTAGAAATCCTCGTCTGTGAGAGCTGGCCACACCCACTCAGGCTGCTTCTATTGTTCCAATTTTAAAACAAAAACACCCCAAGGCCTCTCAAGCTGTTTGTTACCACAGACAGCTCGGTACCTCTCATTCAATCTCTCTCAAAAAGAAACCAGGACAAAATACACCTCTTAAAGCAACAGCATCGCAATAGACAGATGGGGATTAACCGCCAATGCTGTTCTTTTTCCTGCAATTTTAACTCCAGCCTGATCAGGAACAATTCTGCGGTATCTGATTGGGTTTTTTTTTCTTTAATGTATTCATGGGACGTGATCCTCACTGGCAAGGCCAGCGTTTGTTGCTCATGTTCATTGCCCCTTGAGAAGGTGGAGGTGAGCTGCTTTCCTAAAACACTCTGCGGCGTCTTCGTGAGGTTGCTCCAGGGTCCTAACCCTAACTCAAAAGCTACATGCCATCATGTCCCAACAGGTAGCTGGGAAACTGAGTTTGGAGCAGGGTGAGGGGTGGCAGAAACAGTGGTTTCAGACTTCTCTAATTAATTGGAAGGAATTTTGCTCATTCGGGATGTCAGGGAAACAGTTTGCTAAAAAACCAGGGAGAGCCAGTGCTGAACTTGACCATCATTGAACATTCAGAGACAGAGTGTATGGGTGTAGAGGCTTACTTGAGGAGATGTCAGCACAGGAACAGTAGGGTTTAAGGAGCACCTCTAAAGGAGAATAGAAGGGGAGTAGATTTAGGGGGGAAAGTTCCAAGTTGAGGCACAATGGCTGGCAATATTTTTAACATCCATGACCAATCTATTCAGAGATGTTATTACGCACCTCTGGGGCAAATGGGACTTGAAGTTGACTCAGAGTGCAGCTCTATACAGTCTTTGAGACGTGACGATGATGTGGCATTTAAAAGGTTATTTTGTCTTGGTTTTAATTTTATGAAGGGAGGTTATACAACAGTGGTGCTGAGCTGTCTCTAGGCAAATAAACAACTTGTGAGACCTTGGGTCTTAAAGGCAAAAGTTGGCCAGCTCTCTCACACCAGGCTTTCTAGCTCATTTTTAGGTTTCACTTCAAGCAGAAGTTATTGGGGTCTCAAAGAGTTGGAAATTTCAGTGAATATCTCCTGGCTGCTACTCTCTGAATTTTCTCCTGATATTTTTTTTCCTCCTAGATTGGAGAACTGCTTTTGAGAATCCATGTCTGAATTTTCCTTTTTTGCCAAGGGGTATGTTTATGGGACGTTACTATATTGGAATAGTTAATAATTAAATAGATACTATATCTGTTATTCTGTTAAGTTTCCAATCTTATTATTCTGAATTCCTCTTTCTTTTGTTGTATTTTAAGTACAGTGTTTTGCTTAATGTTGAATAATTTGACCAGTCGCATTGCATCTGAGACACATTTACATTTACCTTTACCTTTAAAATAAAAAAAATGTTACGGTCTAGGCTTCCTTCTTAAATGTTTTTGAGGGGGTCTGGTGTGGTCAATAACAGACGTCAGTAAAATGTTCCACAGCACTTCACCCAACAGGCTTCAGTATCAAATTCTATGAGGAGATGTTAGCACAGGAACAGTAGGGTTTAAGGAGCATCTCTAAAGGAGAATAGAAGGGGAGTAGGTTTAGTGGGGGGAAGTTCCAAGTTGAGGCACAATGGCTGGCAATATTTTTAACATCCATGACCAATCTGTTCAGAGATGTTATTACACACCTCTGGGGCAAATGGGGCTTGAAGTTGACTCAGAGATAGTAGGAACTGCCAATGCTGGAGTCTGAGATAACAGTGTGGAGCTGGAGGAACAGCAGGCCAGGCAGCATCAGAGGAGCAGGAAAGGTGACGTTTCGGGTCTGGACCCTTCTTCAGAAAATGGCTTCTGGTCCAAGGCTATGACATTAACAACCTGCCACAAGAGCCCAAATCTCTATCTGTTATAACCTATTGAGGCACATTATCTTCAAATCAATTTGCTCAGCCATGTTATGACACACTTGTGGAGCAAATAGGAATTGAACGCAGGCCTCCTGGCTCAGAGGTATGGACATTACCATTGCACCACAATAGCCCTCTTCGCTGAACGTATACGTTGTGGTATCATACTTGCAAAAGGTGTTTTATGGTAACCATGACAACCAGGCCCTTTAAATAACTAGCTAAGAATCGGGGGAGGAAAGTACCTCAATTTTAAAACAGACTAGAATTAGAAATGCAATTTGAACGGTTTTTAGGAGATATATTTCTAGCACCTCTTCTATCACGGTGAGTCCTGCCTGTAACTGTTGAAGTAGCTGCAGACAAACGGATAAGTTTACTGTCAGCAGCGAGAGATTTCCAAGGCTTTGAGCGTACCTCCCGGTCCCCAGCACTGCGAGGAAAGGCAATAATTGCTTAGGGTCAGGGAGAGGAGGTTACTTAGGGCCTGGTGGTAATGTCACTGGACTGGTAATCTGGAGATGCAACTTCACTCTTTGGGGTACAGCTTCAGATCCCAAAACCAACAGTGTTTGAATTCAAATAATAAATTACTTGTCATAAAAGCCCATCTGTTTTAGTAATTTGCTCTCGGAAATGAAGTGTGTGCCATCGACAAGATGCTCTGCAGACATTCACCAAAGATCCAAATCCACAACTACTACTGCCCAGAAGGATAGGAGCAGCAGATACATGGGAACACCATGCAAGTTCCCCATTAAACCACTCCCCATCCTGACTTGGAAATATATCGCCATTCCTTCAGTGTTGCTAGGTCAAATTTTCGCCCAAATGGCATTGTGGGTCTACCTGCAGTGCACGGACTGCAGCGGTTCAAGAAGGCAGCTCAGCACCACCCTCCTTAAGAGGGCAACTAGGGATGGGGCAATAAATGCTGGGCCCAGCCAGCAGTGCCCATGTCCCACAATTGAATGATAAAAGCCTGCCATCCTCAACCAGTCTGCTTATGCATGACTCTAGATCTTAACTGTCCCTCTGCCAGCGACACAGCTCTAGGGCAATTAGGAATAAGCAACAAATGCTGGCCTTTCCAGTGACACCCACATCCCATTATCTCTTTTCTTTCAAATCTTATCTCAATGTACACAAAAAAAAACTTGGGACTCCAGTATATCAGTGACCTGAGACATGGGCATCACTGGCTAGGCCAGTATTTTATTGCCCATTCCCAAGACGGCAGCTAAGAGTCAATCACATTACTGTGGGTCTGGAGACACATGTAGGCCAGACCGGTAGATATCCTTCCCAAAAGGGAATTGGTGAAGCAGATGGGTTTTCCCTCAACCATCACCAAGTCATATTTATGGTCATCATTAGACTCTTAATTCCAGATGGAATAGAACTCAAATTCCAACATCTCCCATGGCAGGATTCAAACCTGATCCCCAGGACATTAACTACCTGGGTCTCTGGATTAATAGTCTAGTGATAATACCACTAGGCTATCACCTCCCCATGTCTCACCTGACACATGACACGTATCATGTTTGATAAGAACAGGTGATTTTGGACCTATTGTTCCCAAAGCTTTGCACCAGTGCGTTCTTTACCTCATGGCTAACTCTTTAGACTTGTATAACATTAATGAGCGAAATGGGTCATTTTGGCTCAACATCTCAGTGTCAGTGTTTGTGTTTCACACAAAATTCCTCCTAGCCTACTCTCTCGTAGAGTCATACAGCACAGAAACAGACCTTTTGGTCCAACCAGTCTATGCTGACCATAATCCCAAACTAAACTATCTCATCTGCCTGTGTTTGCCCATACCCCTCCAAATTTTTCCTCTTTATCTACTTATCCAAATGTACTTTAAGCATTGTAACTGTACCCGCATCCACCACTTCCCTTGGAAGTTCATTTCACATGCAAACCGCTCTGTTTAAAAAAAGTTGCCCCTCATGTATTTTTTAAATCTTTCTCCTTTCAGCTTAAAGATATGTCCCCTAGTCTTGAAATGCCTCACCCTGCAGGAAAGACACCTGCTATTCACCTTTTCTATACCCCATATGATTTTATAAACCTCTATAAGGTCACCCCTTAACCTCCTACACTCCAGTGAAAAAAGGTCCCAGCCTATCCAACCTCTCCTTATAACTCAAACCCTCCAGTCCTCGCAACATCCTGGTAACGCATTTCAGAACCATCTCCAGCTTAATAATATCCTTGCTATTACAGGGAGACCAGAACTGGACACAGTACTCCAGAAGAGGCCTCACCAACGTCCTGTACAATCTCAACATGACATTCCAACTCCTACACTCAAAGGTCTGAGCAGTGAAGGCAAATGTGCTAAACACCTTCTTACCACTCTGTCCATATGTGATGCAAACTTCAAAGAATTATGTACCTGAACCCCTAGGTCTCTCTGTTCTATAACACTACCCTAAACCCTATTCATTTCCACGTTGTGTGTTTTTTCTAGTCCTCTCCTCAAAAAAAAAATTTTAAAAAAGCCCAGTAATTCTTGGAATGAACATTGGAGTGTACTGCAGTTCCATTTTGACTTATACAAAATGTGTCAGACTATTGTGTCATTTTGCAAACTTGTACAGTTTCATTCCCTTCAAATACACCTATTTGGTTTATCTCACCTATTCCATGTGGTAGCACATACCACATTCAAATCAGATATTGTCTAACTCCTACTGAAGATACAGGTTGAGGATTGTTCCCATAAACCACAGAGCTAAACTCACAGGTGGCACGGTGGCTCAGTGGTGAGCATTGCTCCCTCACAGCGCCAGGGACCCGGGTTCAATCCCAGTCATGGGCAACTGTCTGTATGGAGTTTGTACATTCTTCCTGTGTCTGTGTGGGGGTGCTCTAGTTTCTTCCCAGAGTCCAAAGATGTGCACGTTAGGTAGATTGGCCATGCTAAATTATCCCACAGTGTTCAGGGATGTGTGGGTTAGCGATGGGATATGGTAGGGGGCTGGGTGGGATGCTCTTCAGGGGGTCGGTGCAGACTCAGTGTGCTGAATAGCCTCCTTCTGCACCATGGGGATTCTATGATAGGTGACTAGTTGAACACAAGACTACAATTAGCCTGCATCTGATTATAAACACATTGATAGAGATTGAACACTGCAATTAGCCAAAAAATCCATTATCTTTGTATGGTGAGACTGCCAGAATGGCAGAAGGTAAATTAGATGAAATCTGATTAATTTTTTCATCAAATCTTTTCTAATTTTTTCCTGAGGAAGGTGCATCATGTTAAACTACTTCACAGTTGTAATAAAAGTTCTGAAGATGTTATATCAGACTTCAAACTTTAAATCTCTTTCTTTCTTCACAGATGCTGCTAGACCTGCTGAGTTTCTCCAGCATTCTCTGTATGTGCTCCACATTAGTAATCCTGAAGGCCTGGAATGGATTATCTAAGTATGGCCAGTAATTATCCACCACTCACCTCTCCTCTGTGTAATTAAAGTTCTCAAGCTCAGTGATAACTTTTGCAATTTCCATCTTCAATCTCTGCAAGAGAGAGTTCACAATTAGGATGAGGACTCCGGCAAGGGAAACAGCCAGAGGGTACTGCAGTCGACGTGATATATCTTAGCTGCTAAAAGGCGTTTAAGAAACTTCCACAGTATAGGATTTTCAGCAAAGCTATAGCTTAGGAAATAAAAAGGATATCGACAGCATGAGTACAAAGTTGGCTGAGCAACAGGAAATAGAGCGGTGGTAAATGGTTGTTTTTTTGAACTGGAGGACAATATAAAAATCTGGATTAATGTCAACCATGTACCCATTAGCGATTTATTGTAAAAACCCATCTAGTTCACTAATGTCCTTTAGGGAAGGAAATCTGCCACCTTTACCTGGTCTGGCCTACATGTGACTCCAAACCCACAGCAATGTGGTTGACTCTTAACTGACCACTGGGGAGTTTGCAATAGGTAATGAATGATGGTGTAGCCATGCCCATAACCCATGAAATAAACATTTTGAAAATGAAAAAGGTGTAATTTTGAACTGGGTCTCTTAGTGCGGAAGGTAGTGTGGCTGTCTCTGAGCCAGAAGCCTGGAATTCAACTCCCGCTCCAGGATCTGATGGCTATGTTTATAATGCATCCAAACAGGTTGCTTATTAACTTGACAATCCTTCCAGCACACCTCGTGGTGGGTTCATGGTCAGTTCTAATTGGTTTTGGGAGTGATGACTCAAATCCCGCCACAGCAGATGGTGGAATTTGAATTCAATTAAAAGTCTGGGATTAAGTGTCTAATGATGACCATGAACTGATTGTCAGGAAAAACCCATCTGGTTCACTAATGCCTTTCAGGGAACGAAGCTACCATCCTTACCTGGTCTGGCCTACACGTGACTCCAGACCCAAAGCAATGTGGTTGACTCTTAACTGCCCTCTGGGCAATTAGGGACGGGCAATAAATGCTGGCCCAGCCAGCAATGCCCTTATCCCATGAATGAATGAAAAACAATTTAGAATGGCATCCCTCAAGCTAAAGCTGTAGTTATTCCTGGTGTTTTCAATACAATTCTGTTTACTTGATTCGATGGGCTGAATGGCCTTCTTCTGCTCCATGTCTGATTCTGGGTTCATTTATAGCTAAAACGAAAATAGACCATGCTGTGTAATCCATAGACACAGTCTTGGGTGCTGCAGTGCACAATGACAATGGTTTCTGGTCATAAGATGATATCCTTGGCATATCTTTGGAATTCTTAAAGCAACAGCGCTGTTAAAATGATAGTGCCTCACTTGCAACCTGTTTCAGGAAACATGAGCTATGAAAATGGACATAAACGCATGTTTCATCTGCGCCATGCACCACAGGGGTGAGAAGAGAGAACAATAAACAAGAAAAGTGAGTACACGAATAGGCCAGAAGATTATTGAAGGTGGCAGGGTAGGTTGAGAAAGTGGTTAAAAAGGGCCTAACTAGATCCTGGGTTTTATAAATTATGACGAACATTTTTATAAAGCGCTATTTCGGCCTAAAATGAAGTATCAAGTCACATTTTGGTCGTTATTAGAAAAAATGTGAGGCCTTTAGCATGGGTGCAGAAAAGTTTTACAAGAATAGTTCCAGGGATGGGGGCCTTCATTTATGTGGATACCTGGGGACACCAGGGGTGCTCCCCTTAGAGGAGAGAGGGTGAGACGAGATGTGATAGAGGTGTTCAAAAGCATGAAGGGTCTAAACAATGTCGATAGACAGTCCTTCCAAACTCTAGTGAATTCTGACCCAGTTGAATCAATGTCTCCTCATAGAACCATCCTGCCATTCCTGGTATTAGCCTAGTGAACCTCCACTGCACTCCCTCTATGGCAAGGATATCCTCCCGTAGGTAGGGAGACCAAAACTACACACAATATTCCAGGTGTGTTCTTACCAAGGGCCTGTTTAACTGCAGCAAGACATCTCTACTTCTGAACTCCAATCCTCTTGTAATGAAGGCCAATATACCATTTGGATTCCTAATTGCTTGCTGCATCTATCTGTTTACTTTCATTAGAGAGAGTAACTGTTCCCACCGACAGGGTCGAGAACAGGACGACACAGATCCAAGGTAAATGGCAAAAGAAGCAACAGCAAAGTGTACAAAAAAAAGGTTTTACATGGCAAGTGGTTAGGATCTGGGTAGCATGGACAAGTTGGGCTGAAAGGCCTGTTCCATGCTGTAAACCTCTGACTCTATTGGGAGTGCAATGCTTCAGAGTATGGTGGAGGTAGACTCCATTGTGGCTATCAGTGGGGAGTTGGATAGGTATCTGAAGAGAAAAAAACTTTGCAGGGCTATTGGGAGAGTGCAGTATAGCAAGGGATGAGCTGTCAAACAAAAACAAAATACTGCGGATGCCGGAGATTTGAAATAAAAACAGAAATTGCTGGAGAAACTCAGCAGGTCTGGCAGCATCTGTGGAGAGAGAAATAGTTAATGTTTGAAATATGATATGAGTCTTCTTCAGAATTCTGAAGAATAGTCATATTGGACTTGGAAATGTTAACACTATTTCTCTCGCCACAGATGCTGCCAGACGTGCTGAGTTTCTCTAGCACTTCCCGTTTGTATATAATTCGGATGAGCTGTTAGTTGTTGCAGACAGTTGACATGGACGTGAAGGGCCCAGTGGCTTCTTTGCTACAGCCATTCAACGAATCTACAATGTTCCGTCACTGGCCGTCCATACATTTTTTCACAACTCTCCTGTACCAGACCTTATCCGATTAAGGTCTGTAACCTTCAGCTCCTCAGTTTAAGACCAGGCAATGTTAATAACTGGAAAATCAGGCTCTTGGAAGAACATTCTCAAAATAATCCTGACTCATTTGTCAAAAATAATCTGGACATCCAAGTGATCATTTTGTTCTGCACTGGACCACAGCGCTGAAAAGGATGTTTCCCCTCATGGGATAGTCTCAAACCAAAAGGCCTACCATTGAGGAGGAAATGAGGAGGAATTTCTTCTCTGAAGTGGGTTTGTGTTTGGAATTCTCTCCCCAGTGAGTGGTGAGGCTGGGTCATGGAATATATTCAAGGCTGATTTTTGTTTGATAAACATTGTGGTTAGGAGCAGGGATCAGGAAGCAAGGTGGAGTCAAGCCCACCATCAGATCAGCCATGATTGATTTGCAGAGCAGGCTCTTGTGGCTGAATCGCCTACTCCTGCTTCAATTTCTCATTTACTAATGTGATTTGGTCAAAGACCAATCTTTCATTTACATGGCTAACAGCTCTATAGCTGATGGTGCCATCCTGAAAGAGAACAATTATGTTAATTAAATGTCTCTGAGGAACTAGCGTGGAGGTGCAATGGAAAGTTGAATGACTAATTGTACGATGAATGCACTCTGTGTAAACTTTAAATTCCCCATTTAGGTAGAACTTGCAGTTTCCCTTGAAACATTAAAATAGGAGGAGTAAGCCATTCAGCCCTCTGTATCTGCACTCAATCTATGTAATCATGGCTGATCACCTCTACATTATGTTCCTGCCATTTCCTCATACTCCCTGGTGCTTTTAATATTTAGAAATGTATCCATCTCTTTCTTGAATATACTCGGTGACCTGGCTTCCACTGTGATAGTGAATTCCACGACTGACCACACTCTGAATGAAGAAATCCTAAATGGACTACCCCATATCGTGAGACTGTGATCTTTGGTTCTAGACTCCCTGACCAAGAGAAACATACTCTCTGCATCTGGTCTGTCCAGTCCTATTAGAATTTAATATGTTTCGATCAGCTCCTCTCTTAGCCTTCCAAACTCTAGTGAATACAGACCCAGTTGAATCAATGTCTCCTCATAGAACCATCCTGCCATTCCTGGTATTAGCCTAGTGAACCTCCGCTGCACTCCCTCTATGGCAAGGATATCCTCCCGTAGGTCGGGAGACGAAAACTACATACAATATTCCAGGTGTGTTCTTACCAAGGGCCTGTTTAACTGCAGCAAGACATCTCTACTTCTGAACTCCAATCCTCTTGTAATGAAGGCCAATATACCATTTGGATTCCTAATTGCTTGCTGCATCTATCTGTTTACTTTCATTGGAGAGAAGTCAGAGTTAACATTTCAGGTCCAGGAAGGTTCTGAGGAAGGGTCTCTTGATCTCAAATGTTAACTCTGACTTCTCTCCACGGATGCTGCCAGACCTGCTGAGCTTTTCCAGCAATTTTAGTTTTTGATTTTGATTTAAAGCATCCACAGTTCTTTTGGTTTTTGTTTACTCCCATTGACTGGTGTACAAAGGCACTTGTTCTTAAATGGTCCACTATCCCCATCCTACCTGAATGTCGTTCTGTAGCTCTTCCTTATGCAAACGGACTCTCTCGATCTCTTCTTGTTCCTCTGGTGTGAGATCTGAAAACTCTGAGAGGGAGAAGTGAGAGAGTACACTTAGATCTTATCCACAAGGAGCACGTTTTTAACAACCAGTTACACATTCTTTTACACTTCATCAGTTATGGGCATGCCGGGCAAGATTGGCATTTGGCAGCTGTCCTTAGATGCTCTTGATCTGCAGATGCAGGGTAAACATTCTGCAAATGCAGCATTAATTATACAGCTAGCTACATTGAAGATATCAAACTCAGCCTGTCTGATTATTTAGAATTTCTATTTAAAAGAAACAAGGCATTGCAATTCTACAGCACTTTTCAAGGGTTGAGTAGATAGGGAAAACTTTTCCACAAGCAGAAAATTCAAATGAAAGAGGGAACTGATGGAAGCTAGCTGATAGAAGTACCAAAGGAGACAACAAATTATTCCAGTGCAACAAATTATTATAACCTGGAGTGTACTGCCTGAGAGGGCAGTCGGAGCAGACTCAATAATAACTTGGGAAAGGGAATTGTGTGTGCAATTGCCAAGGTATTGATTGCAAGCTGTGGTGAAACAGCAAGGAGGAGTGGGACTGGTTGAATAGGTCTTTAAAAGAGCTAGTACAAACACAATGGAACGAAAGGTCTCCTTCACTGCTGCTTGATTGTATGCTTTCAACCAGACATGTTCAACTTCGGTACTAGCGACAGAAAAGCACTTTGCAAAGTTCCCAGCACGGGTCCTAGCAAATGAAGCAACTTTTGTAAAACGCCATACCTGCCAATCCTTCGGAGTTAGGTTCCCTCAATCCAATTTATAGGAATCCCTCGGTTCAAAATAAACATATAGTTTGTAACCAATCTCACTTCATCCCGAATGTAGCTCTCTCCTACAGCTAGTCCGAAGCTGACGGCTGACACTAGAGATTTCACTAGTTATAACCCAAGCCACTTGCATATGCTTTCTAAATGACTCGGTGAAACAGGATTTGTTTGAGTAAGCTTTTCCCCCTTACATCATCAAGTTATAATGTCAGTCAACTGACCCCAAACTCTGAATAAAACAGCTACAAAATAGATGGGCACCGTGTGAGAGCTCACTTATTCATTATGTTCATATGTAGCACCAGGGGTGACTCAGCAAGTTTTCATATGTCAACTGAAGTTTAATATCATTTTAAAACTTGATGCCCACAGAATTTTAGTAGCCGCAAGGAAACAATCAACAGGGAACTTACTGATCATGCCCACAATATCCAGAGTGCAGTGCCGGGAAGTGGCTCTGACTGACCAAGTGTATAATCCCGCCGTGCAGTAATGGATTCAGTTGTATCTCCCAAGAAAGCAATCAGTAACTGAAGATGGGACACAGCCAGACACCAGGACTGAGTTTCACATTGAAGAATATCAGAAGTACAGAGACCCGCCCCCCCTCCCCCCTTGCAAACTTGTGTCCGCAGTCATTTCCTGGAACTGAAACACATTTAATTCTTTTCTACATTGTAATGGGTACAATTGTACTCTCTCATTGTGCACGACAGAGATAATGCGCATCAATAATAAACAGACTCAGACAAACAAAGGCTGGGAATCTTGCAGTGAGTAACTCACCTCCTGATCCTGCAAAACCTGTCCACCATCTACAAGGCACAAGTCAGGAGTGTGATGGAATACTCCCCACTTGCCTGGATGGGTGCAGCCCCAACAACACTCAAGACACTTGACACCATCCAGGCCAACACAATCTGCTTGATTGGTACCAATACCATAAATATCCACTCCCTCCACCACCAACGCTCAGTAGCAGCAGTGTGTACTATCGACATGATGCACTGCAGAAATTCACCAAAGCTCGCACCTTCCAAACCCACAGCCACCACCATCTAAAAGAACAGGCAGATATATAGAACACTACCCCCTGCAAGTTCACCCCCTGTAAGCCACTCACCATCCTGACTTGGAAATATATCACCGTTCCTTCACTGTCACTGGGTCCAAATCCTGGAATAATCTGAATCATGGCATCGTGGATATACCTATGGCACATAGACTGCAACAGTTCAAGAAGACAACTCACCACTACCTTCCTGAGGGCAACTAGGGATAGACAATAAATGCTGGACCAGCCAGTGATGCCCATATCCTAAAAAAAACACATCCAAACTATACAGTCTTCTGTTCCGTCTTAAGAGGTACAGAAACTCCCATGAGTACTGCTCTCTGCTAGGGGGTCTGTAACTTAAAGCTGGGGGTGGAAGGTACAGCCAATGACAATGCCAACTCAGTGTTATCACCCAACCATCCAGTACTGTTCAATCCAATGTGGACCATTGGAGCAGACGTTTTATTTTCTCCTTATACAAATGGAATCCGGCTAGTTCCTAATATATGATAGGTCGAATGGCCTGCTTTTGCGCTGTAAATTCTATAACTGAAACTCACTTTTATGTAGCATTTTTGATTAAATGATCTGTCCCAGGTATTTACCAGCAGTGTTGTCAGAGAAAACCTAACACTGAGAAGCATAAGGAAATGGGGAGGCAATGGTCTAGTTGTATCTCTGGATTGTTCAAAACATAAATTGCTGGAAAAGCTCAGCAGCTCTGGCAGCATCTGTGAAGGAAAAACCAGAGTTAACGTTTCAGGTCCGGCAACCCTATAACTGCTGAGGAAGGGTTACTGGACCTGAAATGTTAACTCTTTTTTCCTTCACAGATGCTGCCAGACTTGCTGAGCTTTTCCAGCAATTTCTGTTTTGTTTCCTATTGATGACCATTGTTGATTGTTGGAAAAACCCATCTGGTTCACTAATGTCCTTTAGGGAAGTAAAATTACCATCCTTACCTGGTCTAGCCCACATGTGACTCCAGACCCACAGCAATGTGATTAATTCTTAACTGCCCTCTGGGATAGGCAATAAATGCTGGCCTACCCAGCAACACCCTCATCCCGTGACTAAATAAAAAAAATTATTTGGTCAAAGAGATTTTAAGAAATGTTTCAAAGGGGGAGAGAGAGAGGTGGACAGGTTTAGGAAGCAAATTCCAGAATTTTGGGAATAGCTAGGTGAAGACATGGCTACCAAGTGATTAAGATCAGTGTGCAATGATTCGTGGCACAGTGGGTAGTGACCCTACTTCTGCCCGCACGCCGCACGCCGCACACACCAAGCCAGTCCCCTGAACTGAGGAGATTTTAAATCCCCTGTTAATATTGGTCAGCCAGGGCTTCCTGATTGGCCCAGGTTAACAACCCCAATTAAGGATCTCGTAGTCAACAAGATCCACCTGGTTCCAGTCATTACAACTAGAAACTCTTCAGTGTGACGCAGAATTGAGTATCTGGACAGACCAGAGCAGTGATAAAATGGTGGTATAGTAAAAGGTGCACTGAGTATCTGACTAGTGTGAGTTATATTCATCTAACGTATGCAAATGTCCATCATTTTGATAAGCACAGTAGGTGAAGTATTGGTCTGAGACTTAATTTGGTTCGTAGTACTTTCAGCTCTGAATCAGCAGGCTGAGGGTTCAAGCCTTGCTTTAGCCCATTCAGAGTTAAACATTGGATTGGTAAGTGGTTGGAGGGAATAGATGGGGTGAAATTCATATGAATTGACAAGGAATAAAGTATCACCAGTTTCCACATTGTAACAGCCCAACATTTCTCAAGAATAGAGCGCATAATCTCGGCTGATCCTCATCGTGATTGGGAGGAGGTCAGCCAGGTGGACCTCAGAGAATATGAGCTCCTTGACTGGGGCTGTTAACCTGGTCCAATAAGGGAGCCCTGGCTGACAGATATCAACAGGAGTGTCAGAAGTTCTGCTCACTCTGAGAACTGGTTCCGAGGAAGCTGTACTGCACAGTCAGAGGTGCTGTCCTTCCAATGAGATATCAAACTGAAGCTTGTCATCTTTTCAGACTGATGAAAAATATCTCAACACTCAAGACAGATAAGGAGAATGGTTTTTTTTCCTCTCTCAGAAGGTACTGAATTAATGGAATTTGTTTCCACAGAGGGCTATAGAGGCTAGATTGTTAAAGTCTATTCAAGGGTGAGACAGACAGATTTTTAATCAGGAAGGGAATTAAGTATGATTAGGAAAAGGCAGGAAAAGTGGAGTTGAAGATTATTGGATAAGCCATGATCTCAGTGAATGGTATAGCAGACTCAATGGGTTGAATGAGAGATAGCAGGAACTGCAGATGCTGGAAAATCCGAGACAACAAGGTGCAGAGCTAGATGAACACAGCAGGACAAGCAGCATCATAGGAGCTCCTATGATGCTGCTTGGCCTGCTGTGTTCATCCAGCTCTGCACCTTGTTGTCTCAATGGGTTGAATGGCCTAGTTCTGCTCCCACACCTGATACACTATTTAGAGAAGAACAGTTACTTGGCCATAATGTATTCCTCCACACGCATTTCCGAAACAATAGCTGGCCATTTACCGCATTGTCCTTTGTGGGATCTTGCTGTGCTCCCTCCCCCTTAAAAAAAGACAGCTGTTAGACTACCACAGTGGGTGCAGCTCAAAAGCACTTCATTCAGCTGCGATATTCTGGGATGCCCCGAGAATGCGAAAGGCGCTGTACAAATGCAGGCTCAGTCTGGGTGAAAGAAGGGAAATCCATTCGCAGACTGAAGCCGCACAAACGCGAAGGGATTATTCATTGCTTTGATGGTGTTAACCACCGCTGTGAGTCAGCCTGGTGTTCTCTTAGCCCAGTGTGGTAAAGGAAGCAGCTGCTTGCCGAGTGCAATCAGGGGGAACTCACTGCACAAACTCCAGTCTCCCCACTCCTGGTCACTCTAACCCTGTGTTATCTGCTTTACAGGAAGCAGCTGTACATGTGACAGGGAAAATGACATCCTGAAACCGAAAGTGACACTTTGCCAAATATATACAATGGAGCTTCCTGTACAGGCTCCTGCTTTGGGCTAGGGTTGGCCCTATCCTTGACAGTGGGACTTGCTGCAGCCCAATAGGGAGAATGGTGGCTCAGTAGCAATGCCACTCAGTGCTAATCCAATTCTAGGATAAAAATCCCAGGCGATGGGTTCAAGTCCCAACATGGTAGCTTCTTACATCTGATTAATTTTAAGTTGAATCAAAAACTAGTCTCATTAAGGGTCACCCATTGATTGTTGCAAACGCTCCATCTGGTTTGCCAATATATTTGAGGGGACAAAAGCTACCAGGCCTACCTATAACAGCGTAAGACAGAGGAACTGAAATAGGCCATTCAACCCTTCAACGCCTGCTTACACCACTCCATGAGATCACAGCTGATTTGTTAATCCTCAACTCTATTTTCTTGCCATTTATTTGATTTCCTTACTGATTAGAAATCTGTCTCAGCCTTGAATAGACTTAATGTGGAGATGCCAGTGTTGGACTGGGGTGGACAAAGTCAGAAGTCCCATCAAGTTATAGTCCAACAAGTTTATTTGAAATCACAAACTTTTGACTGCTGCTCCTTCGTCAGCAGTCTGAAAGCTTGTGATTTTGAATAAACCTGTTCGACTATAACCTGTTGTGTGATTTCCAACTTTGAATAGACTTAATGGCGCAACTTCTACAACCTTCTGCGGTAAAAAGTTCCACAGATTTACTGCCCTATGAAAGAAGAAACCCCAGATCTAAAATAGCCTGATTCCTGGCTGGATCTGTAACAAATGTTCCACAAAGATGTCCTGACTGTACACAATGAATTCTTTTTTTGTGGCTACCTCTGCAATTTGACTGTGCCCACAATTAACATACTGCCTTTTTTTTAACTGCTCTACATTATCTGTCCTACCATCTAGGTGCTGTTAGGGGACCTATAAACCACTCCTACCATGGTCTTCCTCCCCTTACTGTTACGTACCTCCACCCAAATGGATTCTACGTCATCCAAATGAAGATCATTTCTTGCTATCA